ACAAGATTCACAGACCCCTGGCAAATCTGACTAAAATGAGGAGAGAAAAAACCCAAATCAGTAAAATCAGAAATGCAAAAGGGAGGACACCAAACAGACCAGATCAAAATAGAACTACTCCACGACATATCATCATTAAAACAACAAGTTCAGAAACTAAGGAAAGAATATTGAAGGCTGCAAGAGAGAAAAAACAAGTAACATACAAAGGTAAACCCATCAAAATCACAGCAGACCTCTCAACAGAAACATTAAAAGCAAGAAGAGCGTGGGGTGAGATCTTCCGGGCACTGAATGAAAATAACTTCAACCCCAGGATACTCTACCCAGCAAAACTATCATTCAAAATAGATGGAGCAATAAAAGTCTTCCATGATAAGCAGAAACTAAAACAATATGTGACCACAAAGCCACCATTACAAAAGATTCTGCAAGGGATCCTGCACACAGAAAGTGACACCCAACTTAACCATGAAAAGGCAGGCAGCACCAAACCACAGGATAAGAAAAAGCAAGACAGTAGAGAGTAACATCAAGTTAGGTACACACAATCAAACCTTCAAACAACTAAGACAACTAAATGACAGGAATCACCACATACCTATCAGTACTAACACTTAATGTTAATGGACTTAATTCACCCATCAAAAGACACCCGTTTGACAAAATGGATTAAAAAGAAGATCCAACAATTTGTTGCTTACAGGAGACTCATCTCACCGACAGAAATAAGCATAGGCTTAGGATGAAAGGCTGGAAGAAGATTTACCAAGCCAATGGCCCCCGAAAACAGCAGGAGTAGCAATACTTATCTCTGACAAAGTAGACTTCAAACCTACATTGATCAAACGAGATAAAGAAGGACATTCCATACTAATAAAAGGGGAAATAGACCAAAAGGAAATAATAATCATCAATCTGTACGCACCCAATGTCAACACACCCAATTTCATCAAACATACCCTGAAAGACCTAAAAGCATATATAAACGCCAACACAGTGGTTGTGGGAGACTTTAACACTCCATTATCATCAATAGATAGGTCATCCAAACAAAAACTCAATAAAGAAATCCAAGATCTAAAATATGCAATAGATCAAGTGGACCTAGTAGATGTCTACAGAACATTTCATCCAACCTCTACACAATATACATTCTTCTCAGCAGCCCATGGAACCTTCTCCAAAATAGATCATATCCTAGGGCACAAAGCAAGCCTCAGCAAATATAAGAAAATAGAAATAATACCATGCATACTATCTGACCACAATGCAGTAAAAGTAGAACTCAACAACAAAAGTAAAGACAAAAAACATGCAAACAGCTGGAAACTAAATAACTCATTACTTAATGAAGAATAGATCATCGATGCAAATAAAAGAGGAAATTAAAAAGTTCCTGGAAGTCAATGAAAATGAAAACACAACCTACCGGAACCTATGGGACACAGCTAAGGCAGTCTGAGAGGAAAGTTTATAGCCATGAGTGCATATATTAAAAAGATTGAAAGATCCCAAATCAATGACCTAATGATACATCTCAAACTCCTAGAAAAACAAGAACAAGCAAATCCCAAAACAAACAGAAGGAGAGAAATAATAAAAATAAGAGCTGAAATCAATGAAATAGAAACCAAAAAACCATACAAAGAATTAATGAAACAAAAAGTTGGTTCTTTGAAAAAATAAACAAGATCGATAGACCCCTGGCAAACCTGACTAAAATGAGGAGAGAAAAAACCCAAATTAGTAGAATCAGGAATGCAAAAGGGGAGATAACAACAAACACCATGGAAGTCCAGGAAATCATCAGAGACTACTTTGAGAACCTATATTCAAATAAATTTGAAAATCTTGAAGAAATGGACAAATTTCTAGATACTTATGACCATCCAAAACTGAACCAAGAGAATATTAATCATCTGAATAAATCTATAACACAGAATGAAATTAAAGCAGCAATAAAGAGTCTCCCAAAAAAGAAAAGTCTAGGACCTGATGGATTCTCTGCTGAATTCTATCAGACCTTTAAAGAAGAACTGATACCAACCCTCCTTAAACTTTTCCACAAAACAGAAAGGGAAGGAACACTGCCTAACTCATTCTATGAAGCCAGTATTACACTCATCCCAAAACCAGACAAAGACACCTCCAAAAAGAACGATAGAAAAATCTCCTTAATGAACATTGATTAAAAATCCTCAATAAAATAATGGCAAACCGAATTCAACAACACATCAGAAAGATCATTCACCACGACCAAGTTGGCTTCATCCCAGGAATGCAGGGGTGGTTCAACATATGCAAATCTATAAATGCAATACAGCACATTAATAGAAGCAAAGACAAAAACCACTTGATCATCTCAATAGATGCAGAAAAAGCCTTCGAAAAGATCCAACACCATTTCATGATAAAAGCTCTAAGAAAACTAGGAACAGAAGGAAAGTACCTCAACATTATAAAAGCTATATATGACACACCTACAGCCAACATCATACTTAATAGAGAAAAACTGAAACTATTTCCCTTAAAATCAGGAACTAGACAAGGATGCCCACTATCTCCACTCCTATTCAACATAGTTCTGGAATTCCTAGCCAGAGCAATTAGGCAAGAAGAAGAAATAAAAGGAATACAAATAAGTAAAGAAACTGCCAAAATATCCCTATTTGCAGACAACATTATCCTATATCTTAAAGACACAGAAAACTCGACCCCAAAACTCCTAAAAACCATAAACAGCCAGCAAGGTGGCAGGATACAAAACCAACTTACAAAACTCATTAGCTTTTCTATATACCAATAACAAACAAACTGAGAAAGAATATATGGAAAAAATATCATCTACAATAGCCTCAAAAAAAAAAAATCAAATACCTAGGCATAAACTTAACAAAGGATGTGAATGACCTCTACAAGGAGAACTACAAACCCCTGAAGAAAGAGATCGAGGAAGACTACAGAAGGTAGAAAGATCTCCTGTGCTCATGGATTGTAGAATCAACATATTAAAAATGGCTATACTACCAAAAGCAATCTACATGTTTAATGCCAATTCCCATCAAAATCCCAATGACATTCATCACGGAGATTGAAAAATCTACCCTAAAGTTCATTTGGAAACACAAGAGACAGCGAATAGCCAAGGCAATACTCAGCACAAGAGCAATGCTAGAGGTATCACAATACCCGATTTCAAACTATATTTCAAAGCAACAGCAATAAAAACAGCATGGTACTGGCACAAAAACAGATATGAAGACCAGTGGAACAGACTAGAGGACCAGGATATGAATCCGCACAGCTATGCCCACCTTATTTTTGACAAAGGCACCAAAAACATAAGATGGAGAATAGACAGCCTCTTCAACAAATGTTGCTGGGAAAAGTGGTTATCTGCCTGCAAAAAACTGAAACTCGATCCATGTCTATCACTCTGTACTAGTATCAACTCAAAATGGATCAAGGACCTTAATTAATATCAGATCCAAAACTCTGAAGTTAGTACAGGAAAGAGCAGGAAACACTCTGGAAATAACAGGCATAGGCAAGGACTTACTCAATAGAACCTCAGCAGCTCAGCAACTAAGAGAAAGTATGGACAAATTGGACTACATAAAATTAAAAAGCTTCTGGACAACAAAATAAATGGTCTCTAAACTGAATAGACCACCCACAGAGTGGGAGAAAATATTTGCCAGATATACATCAGACAAAGGACTGACAACCAGAACATACAGGGAGCTCAAAAAACTAAATTCCCCCAAAATCAATGAACCAATAAAGAAATGGGCAACTGAACTAAACAGAACTTTCTCAAAAGAAGAAATTCAAATGGCCACTCTTCAACAAAATTGGAGAAAAGGGAAGAACAGGTTCTCCTGGAAGCGAGGGGAGTGGGGGAGAGAGGAAAGGGGCAGGGGGTAGGGGAAAGAAATGGCCCCAACAATGTATACACATGTGAATAAATGAATAAAGAAAATATATTTATGTGCTTCAAGTCTTTACCTTGCCTCTTTTGAGAAACTCAGAAAGTACAATTTGAACTGCTAGATGGTCCCACGTCACAAACCACAGAAGTACAATTAGCATAGTCTCACAGGTTCAAAGAGAGATAAATTGATGTGTGGTCAAAGAATTTTAATAAAGCAAAAATGCAACCTAAAAAGAAACTCAGGTACTTCAAAAGACACCATTAAGAAAGTCTAAAGATACCCCAAGAATGAGAAAATATTTGCAAATCATACATGATAAAGGCCTTGTATCCAGAATACATAAAGAACTCTTACAACTCAACAATAAAACAATACAGTTTTTAAAATAAGCAAAGGATTTAAGTTCACATTTCTCCAAAGAAGATATACAAATGGCCACATAAAAAGATGCTTAAGAGTTCAAGCCCCAGTACCACAAAAAAAAAAAAAAAAAAAAAAAAAAAAGGTTGAGGTCTGGGGATGTAGCTCAGTGGTTGTTTACCTCCCAAGCCTGAGGCTCTGGGTTTAATCCCTAGTACTACAAAACAAACATACACCAAAAAAAGCTAATGAAAAGATGCTTAATATCATTAGTCATTAAATAAATAAATCACTGGCACATGGGACAATACAGATGAACCTTGAAATGTTATGCTAAGTGAAAGAAGCCAGTCACTAAAAAGCACATATTGTATGATTCCATCTGCACTGAACGTCATAGAGGCAGAAAGTAGGTTAGTGTTTGCCAGGGCTGGGAGGGAGAATAGGAATTGACTGACACTGGGTTCAGGGATTCTTTAGGGGGTGATGAAAATGGTCTAAAACTAGGTCATGATAGTTGTTATGCAATTTTGTGAATATGCTAAAAAACCACTGCATTGTACATTTCAAATGGTAAATTGCATGATGTGGATTGAATCTCAATAAAATTGTTATAAATGACAAGTTTTTTTAAAGTATGGAATATATTTTTCTAGAAATAGTGATTTGATGAAAACATAAGAAGATGAAATTTGTACTTACAGCTTTGCTCTGCAATTTATTGAAAGAATATCTCAAGGTATCAACCGCTTCGGATTCTTCTTTGGTTACTTCAACTTCAAATCTGTTTAAAATCCCATAGGCTTCCTGCAGAATGGAGACAGAATTCAGAAATACCAGCAGCAGAAGCACCTGCTAAACAATCGAGATGCCTTCTACAAACATGTTCCTATGTCTGAGAAGAAGGCAGAAAATTCTACAAGAGTGCTTTCCAAAATTAAAGATGTGGAAAAGGCACACTTTTAGATTCCCACTGACTGCCCCATATCGACTCTAGATCTGAGGCTCTGAAACCTGCATCTATGAGCGAGCACCTTGGTGATTCTGGTGGAGATGTAGGCAGGTGACATTGGGAAGGGCTATCCTAGAAAATACCCCTAGAGTTATTTCTGGTCCCTCTCTCCTCCTTGACCTTGTGCCAACGCCACGAGGAATAATTTCTTATTGAGACAAGAGTTGGCTATGTAAAAAGTAAAATGAAACAATGACATAGAGATACTCTAAAGGAAAGAAACTCAAATGACTCACAGAATGGAAGTGGGTTTACCAAAAGAACATGTGCTGAAGAATGAAGCTTCTGTAGTTTGGGGGTGGGGAGGCTGATAATTTATCAAATCTTGAGGAATGCGTGGTCAGCATCCAAAATTCCCAAATATTAAGATTTTTTTCAAATAGTAAAAGTCTGAAGTTCACTAACTACCAATGGGCATAAATTCTAAGTGGTGGGAAAGGAGTACATTGACTACTGAGAATCGAAGAAATAATAATAAAACAAATTAAGAGCCTTATTTTTATTCTCACCATGAGTTCAAAAATTTAAGTAGTCGAAATAATTTTAGTCATGAAATACTTGTAACAGACAAAACTAACAGCAACCTCAATGTCATCCATACCCTGGTCACCAAACCCCATTACGTTCTGTATCATGTATCATTACAAAAGTCCCTTCATCATGTAATTAAAGAGCTTTTAACGGGGTATTATCCTAGTTTAAGCATATGGACTCAACGTAATCTCCAAGGTCCATATAGAGGAAAAAAAGGGAGGCAACAGAGTTAGAACCAGAGGAGATTTGATGACAGAGCAGGGGTAGGAGCCATGCCATTGCTGGAAGTGAGTCTTGAGCCAAGGAATGCAGGTAGCCTCTACAAGCTGGAAGAGGCAAGGAACCAGTTTTCTCCTAGAGCCTCCAGAAGCAACGCAGTTCTGCTGGCATCTTGATTTGGGCCCCATAAAACCATTCCTTCACTTTTGATCTCTAGAACTATACAATGTTTGTAGTGTTTTAAGCCATTAAGTTTGTTTTAAGTCATTTGGAGTTTATACTCTTTGATATTTATCATAGCAGCAACCGGAAACTAATACAATGCTTTTCCCTAAAAATCTCTTTTGTTGGTCTAAGTTCCATCAGTCACTACCAAGCCTCAGTGTGCTGTTCCTATTCTACTGCCCATGACACACCTGTGGTAATGAGTAAGACCCACAATTGGCCTAAGGAAACCCAAACATATTTGGAGAATTTGCCTAACATATTGGGATAGACTTGAGAGAGGTAACAACCAACCATTTCCATAAAAGGTTGGTGTAGTCTCAAAAACTAAACACTGTCTAGCCCAGTACAGCATTCGTCATATATTAATATTCCTTTGTATATTGTTCACTGTTGATAATCGGTAAATTCCCCATGGCCACCAACATCAGAAAGTAGATTTACCATACAATAGATGAAGAACTATGTTAACAGAATCACTTTTGAGTATGTTTTTATTTTTTTAAAGCATTTTAGGAAAGAAAAATGCAATCATTTCTTACTTCAATTGGTCCCAAAGTCATGTCCATCTGAATTTCATTATCACGGATACACGACAAGGCTTCCATTGCAAATCTGACATCATCTAAATCACGAATGGGTCTAGATAGCTTTTTCAAGTATTCATTGATAAATGCTATCATGTCTGACATTTTCTTTTTGTATTCTTCATTCAAGTACCGACACAGTAACATCTTCCATGCCTTCGCCTCAATTGATAAGGCTAATTTCATTGGCTCTGATGAGGATAAGAAAGATTAAAATTCACCCTGTGTACAATCTGAGCGGTGCAAATGCACTTTCCAGTTCAGTGGTCACCAGTCACATATGGCTATTGAGCCCTTGAAACATGGTACTCTAACAGACTCGTTTTTTTGTTTGTTTGTTTTGGTTTTAGTTTTGGTGGTACTGGGGTTGGAACTCAGGGCCTCATGCTTGTTAGGCAGGCGCACTACCACTTGAGCCACTCCACTAGTGAAACATGGTAGTCTACATTCGGTGTGCTGTAAAGTTACTAGAGTTTGAAAACTCTGTTCCTATCCCCATGGATTATGTTCAGCTGTTCTTAAGAATGCCATAGCCAGGCATGGTGGCTCACATCTATAATCCTAGCTACTCAAGAGGCAGAGATTGGGAGGATCAGGGTTCAAGGCCAGCCCAGACAAAAAGTTAGCAAGATCCCATCTCTATCATAAGAGCTGGCCATGGTGGCACTACCTGTCATCCCAGGTAGGAGGGAGAAGTAAATAGGAGGAGGATCAAAGTCCAGGCCAGCCCAGGCATAAACCTGAGATCCTTTCTCAAAAATAACCAAAGCAAAAAGGGCTGGGGGTGCAGCTCAAGCAGTCGTTTGCCTGGCAAGTGAGAAGCCCTGAGTTCAAACTCTAGTACCACCAAAAAAAAAGGAGGAGGAGGAGCAAGTTGGGAAGAAGGAGGAGGAATGGGAGGATACTATAGCCTGTGGGGGAGAATGTCTGAAATGAAGCCACCGTTCTGTTTGAACTTGTTTCCGTCCATCTATTGGCTGTCCCCATCACTACCCCATTTTCCTCTAGGGAACCCCTCTCAGTTCTCCTGTCATACCACAGCCCTAGATTGTTATCCTCCTCTTCCTAACTACAGCAGGTATATAACATGACTCCACCCCAGCTGACTATCCTAGGCCTATCCCAACCTATTACGGACCAGTCAGAGTCCTTTCTTACAAGTGTGGAGAGTGGAGGGGAGCTGTGTGGTCTGGGAAGCAGAAAAGTCAAGGGAAGAGGAAATGAGCAACAGAAAAGATGTCCTCAGCTTCCTGTTCCATCCCTGGCCCTGTCTGTTCTGAGGCTCCCATTGCACTTGGATTCCGAGTCACCTCTTTTCCTTTAGCACTCTGCAAGTGGGCTTCATTTCTTGAAAACAAAACAGTACTGTCAACTCTACCTTATCATTTCTACCTGTTCCTCTTTTCCTCCCAAGGCCTCTACACTCCTAGCCCTCCCAAGCGTGAAACATGACTGCTCTCCTCTCAACTTCTAAGAGGCCTGTGGAGCAAAGAAAGAAATAGAGCCCAGGAACCATGTACACAGCTTGTTGGCTGAGGTCACTAGATCCTACCTCATGGGCCTCTTGCCTCCTTTCTCGGGCCCAGAATTCAGCCCATCTCCCCTTTCTTTTCTTTCTTTCTTTCTTTTTTTTTTTTGCTAGGCAAGTACTCCTTAAGCCATGCCCCAGTCTTTTTTTGCTTTAGTTATGTTTCAAATAGGGTCTTGTATTTTTACCCAGGCCAGCCTGGACTACAATATTATTCATACTTCCCACACAGCTGATATCACAGGCATCTGCCACTACACCAGGAGTATTGATTGAGATGGGGTTTCACTAACTGGATAGGCTTGACCCACAGTCCTACCCATCTCTGCCTCCCAAGTAGCTGGGATTACAGGTGTGAGTCACTGCACCTGGCCTGCATTCCCTTTCTTTGTAACTGTCACCACCATTTTCTAGTTTCCTCTGTCTAAAATCAAGCACCTTGGTTCACTACAACAAAATGCTACAGTTGTTTACATAGTAAGGACCATAAGGCTATCCACTATGAGGACACAAATAGAAAAAGTTTTAAATGTAATTTGCAAATTCTTCAAAAGTGCTTGTAATTAATTATTGCTCCTGATGCAGCTTCTGATTTCCAGCTAAACAATCGGCCCCACTCCAAGTATTTGTTGCTCTTCCTCAAATTAAATTCTTTCTTGGTAGACATAATAATATTTAATATTTATTGAACAGCAATTGTTTGCCAGGGACTATGCTACTGTCTTATAAAAGCAGCTCATGAATCAGACACTCACTAACATCAGCAGAGGACACAGAGATAGAAGCAAACAAATAGCCCAAGTCATCAATTATGTCCAGACATAGTGGCTCACATCTGTAATCCCAGCTGCTCAGAAGGAAGAGATCAGCAGGATCATAGTTTGAGGCCAGCTTGGACAAAAACTTAGCAAGAACCCCACCTCAACAAACTAGGCATGATAGCACACATCTATCATCCCAGTTATGTAAGAGACATAAGTAGGAGCATCTCAGTCCAAGCCAGCCCAGGCAAAAAGTGTAAGAACCTACCTGAAAAATAACTAAAGCAAAAGGGTTGGGGTTCTGGCTCGAGTGATAGAGCACCTACTTAGCAAACACAAGGCCCTGAGTTCAAACCCCAGTACCACTAAAAAGAAAAAAATAAGTCATAGCTACACTGACTCCTTGAGGCTTGAGAACAGATTTGAAAATCCATTTAAGGTAGATAATTGGTATAAGCAAGTCATTCAAACATCATCAGAGAATTAAATCTTCCCATAAGCTTAAGACCTATTGTTCTGTAATCATGGTAACAATGAGTCACCACAACTAGTGTAAACCCAAACCGCAGTTCTCATACATTTGTAAGCCAGCTGGAGTGGATGTACTCTAGTAACCCTACCTTTCAGTCCAACCAACCCACACCTCTCATCTGAGTAAGCACCCTGACAGATGACCTTAACTTACACAGATCCACAATCTCTGAACTCCTCCTTCACACAGAGACCAGCAGTCTGTGCGCCAGGAACCTGTGACCAACAGAGCTCTCCTTGCTGCAGTAAAAAGGCCAGCTTAGTCTCGTATTTCTGGTCTTATCAGCCTTTGAAACTCTCAACCCAAGTGGATGAGCTTCTCAGGAGACTCCAACTGCCCAACTCCTTCCTCATGTCCAAATACCCTCCTCTCAGTAACCTGAGAGAACTCCACCTGCAGTTTTACTTGTCTGATCACCAATGGTGCAATCTGTCTGTGTGTGTGTGTATCTGTGTGTGTGTGTGTGTGTGTGTGTGTGTGTGTGTGTGTGTGAGGGTGCCCCCTTCAAAAAAGTTAAAGAAAATACAATAGCACTTGCTGTGAAAATGTGGACACCTCACGTGATCAGTCTTTGTGACTTACCCGTGTGCAATTCAAGTGCCCCCACCACTATGACAGGCTTCAGCTCATCAATCTCTTGCTCGAAAGTAGCATAGTGGAGGATTTCTGATCTGATTTCAGTCAGAGAGGGGTTGTTGGCCAAAAACTCCTGCAGTAAGGCAACAATTCATATGTGCTTATTAATCATTATTAATATTTTAACAGTACAAGTTACAAGAATTAAGTGAGAAAACCTCACTTGCTTCAACACCTTTCCACTTCTACGTGCTGTGGGGCCAATGACAGAAAAGAACAGGCCATCCCAGTGGTCCAGGAAGAGGGGGCTGCGTGAATTTCCCAGCCCTCTATTATTCAGAGCTCTGTAGCATGTTCTTGACTCTCTAATCAAAAATACAGCTGGGCTTACATGCATGGGACACACCCTGGCCTCTGAGCAGTGCCAGGCAAACAATCTGTACTTTTTTTTTTTTTTTTGGCAGTATTGGGGTTTGAACTCAGGGCTTTGTGCTTGCTGGGCAGACACTTACATCTTGAGCCACACCTCCAGCCCTGCACTGTTTTTTAAAGGAATTAAATTAAATTTGTCACAGCCTCATTGTTATCAATTGCATGAGAGCCTCAGTGTGAGAATCATGCCAGCTATCTTGTGTCAGGTGCTTGGAATTTATGGGTTCTTGGCCTCTGCCTTGAGTTCCTATTATTATCCCCAATGTCTTCATGATCCCCATATCTCAGGAGTTAGAGACAAGCATTAAAACCCAAAGGAGATCTCAGGAAGCAGAAACACACCTTCACTTTCACATCGCGGTCCTCTGTCCAAAGAGTCTTGTACTTCTGAAAGTCCTGCAGGGCCTCATGGGCCACCTTCCTTAGAGAATTCACAGAGGAAGAAAGGAGGAGGACCAGCTTGGAAATGTCCTTGTGCTCTGCCACCCCAGGATAAAAATTCTTCAGCTTCCTCGCAGGAATGATTTCTTCAAACGATCCTGAAAGCAGATGATTTCACACTATCGATATTCACTCTATATTTAACTTTAAATATTATCGATTTTAACATCCAGAGTATTTTAGTGCATTTTCCTAAAGACACTCCCTCCAAATGATTCAGAGTTATTTCAAGTAATTAAGAAGTTACTGCCTTGCTGTCTTCACCTATTAAAGGATTGGGTCAGATTGGGAGGACTACATTTCTTTAATCTGAAAAAACTGTGTTAAGCAGAGGGTGAGAACTAGAATCAGTGATTAAAGCTCCCCCCTCAAAATTTTATAAAGTCATTTAAGAAAAAGTTAAGAGGTGAATCTTTTTCTTCCCCCCTAGGGAACAGCGTAATGGTCAATGGTCATTTATTATCTAAACGACCTTAGGCCATTTAATCCTCATGGCTGAACGTGAGAAGATAAAATGGGACAATGGATGTCTGTCCTCATTTCAGCCTCTGGTACTGCAACCCAGCAGTAACAACCCAGCAGTAACGATTAACTCCTGCACATTCCCCCTAAGCATCTTCCACCAAAACACAGGTCTAATCATGTCACTGCCTTGATTGAAAATTTTCAAGTATTCTCCCCAGCCAGCAGAGACCATGCAGATACTTCTGTTTGGCCTATATCCAACTTTTTTTTTTTTGAACAGTTGTTAATTAAAAATCCTGAGATTTCACATGAAATTCCAGACTCCAGTTTCTCCTTTGAAGGTGGTAAATTTGGTAATAAGAGGATCAGATTTCCCACACAGGAGCAATTAGCTGGAGCAGACTAGGACCTGTTGAATTTACCATCGTCCCATTTCAGCCTGTTTGCTCTTTTATTTTATCTTATAATTATATTTAATCAAAATTAAGGCAAAATAAAATACAAGGTACTGCTTAACTTAATCAACTAATTAATGTTGTAAGCATGCCTTTCTTCCGTTAATTGCTGAGAACTGTACTGTATAGACATACCATATTTGTTTATCCATTTTTAAACATTTGTTTTATTAGCAACTGGGAGCTATTACTAATAAAGTAGCTTTGAAAACTGAAACAAAATTTATCAGATCGACTACAACGCTGAAAGAAAAATCAGTAATATAGTTGAATTTTTACCTCTCACAATTACTATAGTAGAAACAGTAATTGTTGCTTGGCCATGACCAAAAATTAGAAAGAAATGTCTGCCGGCTAAGTTTTGGATGCGAATGGAGAAATACTAGTTGTCTTTTTTTTAATGTAAACTCTAACAAGTAAGCATATAAAAATAACTTATAAGATATCTATATGCTATCGAACCCAGGAAGGCTCAGAAGGACCATGTCCTAACGATGACTCTACAGATGTTTAGACTCTCTCACTCTCTTCCTTCTTGAGCTGTTTTCCTGTGCTGGGCTGATTCGGGTCAGCAGTGGTTTGGGTGGGACTGCTGAGAACTGGTTTGACATGGCGGGCTTGCTGCTGTCCCCAGTGAGCCACCCCTCTGCTGACCTCCAGGGTCAACTGGATCATGCGATTGATGGCTTGCTGAATGTCATCCAGGCTAGGCACCATCACCTGTGGAAAGAAGAGGCCAGTGACAACCCAGCAAGCGCACACTGCCTATCACCATTCCTTACTGAAAGGGGGCCGCAGATTCAGGAGAGGGAGGTAGGGGGAGGGAGCAGCTCAGGCTTCCTTGACCTTGGAGTTTTCCCATTCTATCCATTCCTGTGGGCCCAAAGGTCAAACGTAGTTCTGATCACGCTTTCCCTGTGATGATGCCTGCCTGCATGGTGGAAAACTGTCCATGATGTGTGGAATGTCCATGAAGCAAAGTAACTGAAGCAGCTGTGTTGCCAACATCTGACCTGGCTCCTTTCAAATAAGCTAAGAAGCTACCCTTCCAAAGGCCAGACCATGCAAACATGGTGTTAGGCGGGTCACAGGTTGTCCCTGCCCAGCACATGTGCCAGCTTCGTATCTGGAGGTCCAGATACCAAGAAGAAGGCAGGGTTGTTGTAGAGAGAAGTGCCCTGGGAAGGCTCAGGGACTCCACGATTCGCAGACCACCACTCACTCCTGCTTTCTTTCTGTTCTGCCACCTTAAATAGGCTGTCTCACTGGTGGAGGAAGGGTAGGGATTTAAGACTTCGTTGATGATTTTATTTTAATGTAAGAAGTGAGAAAAAGCAGTTACTGGTGGCTCTGGCCTGTAATCCTAGCTACCTGGTAGGATGAGATCAGAAGGATCACGGTTCAAAGCCAACCCAGGGAAATAGTTCAAGAGACCCCCATCTCCAAAATAACCAGAGCAAAAATGGACTGGAGGCTCAAGCAGTAGAGCGCCTGCTTCATAAGCATGTGCTCGACACCTGAGTCCCACTTAAAAAAAAAAAAAGAAAGAAAGAAAAGAAAAAGCAGGCAGAACAGGTACTTAATGTGTGCAATAGCTTTCAGTATACCATGAGTTATGCAGGAAGTTCTGTTTTTATTTATTGTATTTTTGCAGTGCTAAGGATCAAATTCAGGGCCTCAAGAATACCACTAAGCTATACCCCTAATCCAGAAGTAAGTTTCTAGTAACAGACATAAATGATAACATTTATATGTTAAACATTAAAAGTTAAAAAATACACAGGACCAAGATTGTTTGCTCCAAAATGGAGTTCAATTTTTGGCTACACTTTCATTTTCTGCAGTGCTGGGGCTGGAACCCAGAGCCTTGTGCCAGATAGTGCTCTACCTAATACTCTTATATTACCCAAGTATTATTATCTTATGATACTCACCACATTAGGAATTGCAAGATGCACTTCTGTTTTTATGAAGGAAATAATGTCCTCTGGCCACTTCCGTCCATACTGGCTGTAAGAAGACGGACATTTTAGCTGATGAGCCTTAGCCTAAAAATGTCACCAAAACTTTATTATGATGAAGTCTCCATCCTAAAAATAAAGGCTGTTTTTAAAATATCGAATCACACCAAAAGAATGTTACTTATAATGGAACCATAAGTTGCCTAGAACTAAGAAAACACAATGACTCAATGTTCTCAGAAGTAAAATATCAACATCACAAACGCATCTCAGTATTTGCATGTTGCTTCTTCTCAGTAGTGACTACTTAATGATGTTTACCAAAGGCGTTATTTGTTGTCAGCATTGTCACAATGAAGGAGATCACCGATAAAAAGCATACACTTCATATACTTTTTATATAACACTTTCTACAAGATTTAACAGGAGATTCTAGTGAAAATCTTCCAAAAACTGCCTTTTTAAACAGTTATCACGAACACACAGAACATACAAGACATGAGTCCAGTAATGAAGGAAACACAGAGAGTAGCAAATGAATTTGCCTTTCTCCCTTGGCCTTGACCTCTATCCCTATCCTAGACAAAAATTACAAAACATCTCTTTCTCTGGGATGCCAGAAATGCTGTCACTACTGGGAAAAAAACAAACATAAACAAAAACACCTCTCTATATAAGTACAAGCAATTGGGGGGAAAGGGGCACACTAACAAGAAAAATAAGGACATCACAGTTCAGTGAGACACCAGTGGCTCACCTCTGTAATCTTAGCATTCTGTGTGGTTTAACCCAGGTTCAGCCTGGGCTAAAAAGCTTGTGAGACCCATGTTTGCAGAAAAAAGCTGGGTATGGAGAGAGGATCACAGTCTAGGCTGGCCTGGGCAAGAGGTGAGACCCTGTCTCCAAAATAACTAAAGCAAAAAGAGCTGGAGGCGTGCCTCAAGTGGTAGAGTGCCTGCCTACCAAGTTCACAGTCCTTTTTAACTAAAGAGAAGGAAACCAAAAACAAAGAAAAGATAAGTAAGAGAGGGGGGTGCAACTCAGTTATCTGCACATGAGCACTGCAAAAAATAAATAAATAAATAAGTAACATTTATTGAATGCTTAACGTATGCTGGGCACTTCCCACAAATTCATGCCTGTGCCGACTGTTTCTGTTCCACAGATGAGGCAACCAAGCCAGGGAGAGGCCAAGGGACTTCCGAGGGTCACTCAGCTCAGAGACACACCACTACTTGATCCAGTGCTCGATCCTACACAGTTGTGGTAAATTACAGCAACCTCTCCCTTCATCTTAAGAACAGACTTTTTTCTCACCTTGAAAAATTCTCAGTTTGACCACCAGGATTCATGGGGGAAAATTTGTGAATTTCAAGAATAAAGTAAAAATTCTGTAAGCACGAGAACAATCACACGAGTTGCTATTCAGAAAGGAAAGTGGGATTATGGTAGGACTCTTGCCTGCAAACTGAACCCAAAGAAGCCGAAGGTGCAGCACTTTTGAGCGTGGGAGAAAGGGATCATGACACAGAAAACCAGCCAACGGCATGGAGAAAGATGTTTTCCACGAGCAAGGATTCTGAGTGCCATCCCTCAGTGTATGCCTCTCCAAAAAATGATTTAAGTACTGCAGAACTTGTAAATCAACATGAGTTCATTCTTCAGAAGCACGTCTTCTATCAAACACATCGCAATCATAGGAAGAACACAAAGGACGTGAGAATGTTCAAATACAAGACAAGAAAGCATCAGAAATGGCCCAGAAACACAAGAACAGCCTGGCCAGGGCTCTGGTCCGGAAGCAGGTGGTGACGGAAGCGAGGATGGCTTTTGCAGAATACAGGGCCTGGCAGAAGCCCATGAGAAATAGGGGCCTCAGCCAAGCTCCCTGCTTAATGTCAGAGCTAACATGATGCTTTCCCCCTCCCCGGGTAAAAACAGCAAGAACATCTACCAACCTCACACCGGCAGCCACAGCTTTATGAAAGCAGCACACCCACAGCTTCCCCGGTAAACTGGCCCACCTGAGCTCCTGCCTGAGCCGACCATCCCCCAGTGCCCCTCCAGGGGACAGGAACTGACTGCAATCAAGACCTGGTCCTGGACTCAACATTCCAAGGGTCATTTGGGGACAAAAGTGCAGCTCCTGCACAGGGAGGGAGGGAAGAGAAAAGCAGAAGGAAAAAGCACAGTTCGTGCTCAATGAGAACACGATCACTAAAATCCCAGAAGGCATAAAGAAGCCTGAGGGCAAAGAGCAGAAAGCAAAAGAAACCAAAACCGGAAACAGAAGCTCCCTCCAAATTTAACACACAGAAGTACAAAACCCTACAACCAGCAATTGAAAATGCTCAAAGAAATACAGGCTAAGAAAAACTTAAAAATAGAGAAACTGCTAAACTTATAAGGCAGAAATGATACAGTATCTGAAGGATAAAGGGGGAAATGCTTGTATCTATTTGCTTCCTTATTTGCTTTGTGGTGCTAGGGACTGAACCCATGACCGCACATAGACTAGGCAAGTGCTCCATCACTGAGCTACACTCCCATTCCCAAGAGCACTTATTTATGTATTTAAGATGCAGATGATATAGTCTTTAAAACAGAAATAGAGATACTTGCCCATAATGTAGCCCAGAAAGGCAAAAAATTAAGTATATAACAGTAGTGAGAGAGGAAGGACAGACCAAGAGGCTCCAACACACGAGAGAACCATGTGTCCACTGGGCCCAGGAAAATCCAGGTTGACTGTATCCTAGTACCTCATCTGGATAGCGCCCGCTCACTCATAAAAGTGTCCTAGCTGAAAGAATAAATTACAGAGTCATTCTATTCCGTATTCAGCTAATAGGAGTTCTAGAACAAAGTGATGAAGGAATATCCTAGATGTTAAAACTGAAGAGGAAATTGTTCAGGTTTTTCTAGAAATAAGGAAAAACAATAAACCTTCAAATCAGATTGAATAAAAGGTGCACTCTGAGAACAAAGCAGAATTAAATATAGACAAATCCATATCCAGTTAAGCAAAAAGTATGAGACCCTAACTGAAAAATAACCTAAAGCAAAAAAGGTTAGAGGCCAGGTTCAAGTGGTACAGCACCTGCCTAGAAAGCTCAGAGCCCTGAATTCAAACCCCAGTATGGCATACACAAGAGACATAAAAATCACAAATCACTTAGAAAAAGACTGATAAGTTTGAATATTTTTGAAACTGGCAAAGAAAAAGTGGAAATAAAGAAAATTAAAAGATAAGGTATAACCAAGAAAAGGTATTTGCTGTATTATCATCAACAAAGAAATAATAATGTGTGTGACTTAAACCCACACATTTAAGGAAAGACGACAAATGGCCCATAAACACATGCAAATACACTCCATCTCATCAGTAAGCAGGAAAACAAGAATTTCAATCTCAATGAGAATGAGAGACTATTTCAAATCCCTCTGTGTTAGCAACCAGTTTTTTTTAAGTTGGATAATAACTGGTTCGCAAGGATGAGGAGCCACAGGCTCCCCTGTGCAAGTCATTGCTTGATGAAATGAGGCCCATGACAATACACTGGGTACCCACCCAAATTCACTCTCAGCCCATGAGCAGGACACAGTACAAAGGAATTCTCACAGAGGATTACCACTTAAGTCATACCTCTAGACCTTTTCTTGATTTACTTATTTTTCAGGTAGGATCTCACATTTTTTCCCAGGGCTGGCCTCTTACCCATGCTTCCCGCATAGGCAGGATTACAGACATGAGCTATCACACCTGGCTTATTGAGATGGGGTGTTGCTAACTTTTTTACCCAGGTTGACCTCTGCTCAATTTCCACCTCCCAAGTAGCTGGGATTACAGGTATGAGCCACTGTTCTTGCAGTATTATACAAATGTTTTCCGATAGCCTTTTAATGAATGTATATTTTAAATTGTATCATTTTCTAAAACTAACAAATTAATTAAAACTAACAAATTATTAGAGTTTGTCCAGGTATTCCGAGTTATATTTAGTAATTTTCCACTTGCCTTGTAACAAATATTCTCTTTTTCATTGTATCCAGAGACAAGCGTGTAGCTTTTTGAAGACTGTCTAGTAATTGATGAGAGAAAAAGGCATAGACTTCTTTGCATTCCTGTAATAAGAAACCATAAGTTGGTACCCAGACATGAACCTCTAACATCCCCCAAAGCAATGACCTAATATTAAACGTGAATGTGAAAGGTAACAAATAGTAAACGCTACAATCTCAGTAGCGTTTATTAAATCCTAGATTATTTGTCTGGGTTTCTTTAGGTAAACAACAGCATATGAAAACTGTGGTCGTAAGTTATGGAAACAGCCAAGATGCCCCACCACCAACGAATGGATTAAGAAAATGTGGGTATTATAACAATGGAAATTTTATGCAGCATGAAGAAGAACGAAATGTTATCATTCGCTGGTAAATGGATGGAATTGGAGAACATCATTCTGAGTGAGGTTAGCCTGGCCCAAAAGACCAAAAATCGTATGTTCTCCCTCATATGTGGACATTAGATCAAGGGCCAAAACAAGGGGATTGGACTTTGAGCACATGATAAAGCAGAGCACACAAGGGAGGGGTTGAGGATAGGTAAGAACCCTAAAAATTAGCTAGCATTTGCTGCCCTCAATGCAGAGAAACTAAAGCAGATACCTTAAAAGCAACTGAGGCCAATAGGAAAGGGGACAGGACTAGAGAAAAGGTTAGATCAAAAAGAATTAACCTAGAAGGTAACACCCGCAGGAAATTAATGTGAGTCAACTCCCTGTATAGCTATCCTTATCTCAACCAGCAAAAAACCCTTGTTCCTTCCTATTACTGCTTATACTCTTCTTCAAAAATTAGAAATAAGGGCAAAATAGTTTCTGCTGGGTATTGAGGGGGTGGGGGAGAGAGGGAGGGGGTGGAGTGGGTGGTAAGGGAGGGGGTGGGGGCAGGGGGAAGAAATGACCCAAGCCTTGTATGCACATATGAATAATAAAATTAAAAAAAGAAAAAAAAAAGAAAACTGTGGTTGTATAAACATCCAAGCAAACCAAGAGGACTTATTCAACAGCCAAAATCCAAAAACAGCATATGCAAAATAATCCAGGTTTGTTCAATATTCAATAATACATCAAAAAACATGAGGCATTTTAGGTGTGGGCCTTTCTCAATCTTAGGAGTATGATGAGCCTCCATCCTCAAAAAAGTAAGCATGGTGGACAAACATACTTTAAAATGCACAAGACCCAAAGCTTGGCACAGTAGTGCATGTTTGTAATTCCAGCAACTCCGAAGGCAGAAGCAGGAGGATTGAGTTTGAAGCCAGCCCAGGCAAAGGTTGTAAGACCCTGTCTCAGAAAACAAAATAAAAACAAAAGGTTTAGGGGTATAGTTCAGGTGGCACAACAATTGCCTAGCATGTATAAGGCCATCGGTTCACGGCTCGATACAAAATAATAACAATAGAAGACCCAAATATATAGATGAACCTTCTAATTCCTGGGACCAGGACTTGACCCTTTATCCACATCCTTCCTTCCCTTGGGAGGAGGAGTAGCCAAGGGTATTGGTCATGGCACAGGACAGACACTAGCTTGGGCAGGCAAGAGTCCACCCTGCCTTTTTTTTCAATGATAGGGATGGAACCATGCCAGGCACCACTGAGCCATGTGTCAGTCCCTGATACCACAACCCCTTGCACGATGAGTCACACATTTAGGGCCCTGCTGCTCCTCACTGCTCTAAGACTGGTGGGAAAGCCAGGTTGAGTCAGAATTTTCAGAACAAAGAAGAATATCAACCTTTTCCATGTGGTCAGGGCTGATGAATTACCAAGCTACAACACAGGCACAATCAGACTGTGATCTTAGAGAGACCATGGTGGCAATGATGTGGGGGTGGATTTGACAGGAGAGGTGACTGCCCTAATGCCTCTCCAACTGACCCCCCCAACTGGAGAGGACATAATGGTGCTGGGTCCTGCTCCAAGGACCCCAACATTGCCAAAAGGGAATGCAGTTGCAAGAGAGGGTCTGACAAGATGGCAGGTACGTCCTCTCCAGCTGACTTCCCCACAGTTCTCTGTGGCTCTCCTGGGTGTGGTACTGAGAGGTCTAAGACTACAAGCTACACTCTGCAAAAAAAAAGCTTTTCCCAATCAACTGGTAATGTCACCCTTGAGCAAGAAGGTGGAAATAGAATAAATGTGTGCTGTTTATTTCCAAAACTGTATTCAAGTATGTAAAAGTGAGTAAAACAAAGAAAGAATGAAAAGAAAGTAAGCATAATGGATTCAAAGAAAACTGACAAGAGGAAGCAGGGTATAGTGGTGCAAACCTGTAGTCCCAGCTACTCAGGAGGCAGAGGTAGGAGGATCAGGATCCAAGGCCAGCCCAAAGCACAAGACCCTATCTGAAAAACAAACCAAAAGAGAAAAAGCAAAAGGACTGGAGTGGGGCTCAAGTAGTAGAATACTTGCCTAGTAAGCACAAAGCCCTGGGACCCCAGTAGCTCGAAGAAAAAGAAAAAAGACAAAAGAAAGAAAACTGACAGAAGAAGAAACCAGGGATTTCTGCATTCAGAGTTGATGCACGACCAACAGGACAGCAAAACCCCATGCCTCCTTCCCCACCTTCATGTTCAACTCATTCCAACACTGTGTGAAAATCTGCCCACCCTGAGTCTCTAGTTAAAACTGCAGGACCCCAAAACAATGGGAGTCGGGACTGCGGTGTAGATAACTCTATTAAACATCACAGCAAAGTCAAACACATTAGTGCACCATCCCAGAAGTCACATTAACTGTATAAGGAAACAAGGCAGTCACAATCAAAGGAGATACTGCAAACAACAGAATCACATCACAGGCTGATCATACCAGGAAAAGCTGTAAACATGGCTCGATCGTGCCTGATCCTGCAGTATAACATTGGAAATTATACTTTAGGAATCCTATTACAAATTAGACAGGCTGGTGGCTGACCTGCCTAGAAGAAATCCCATGGGGTAATCAACAGCCCTGGGAGTCATGGGTCCAGAAAACTACATGAAGGCAGAAGCAGGAGGATTGAGAATTTGAAGCACACACCTTTTTAAACTCATCTTCTTTGTCATTAGTGTCAGCAGCCTTCTCAACCTCAACGTCATAGTCAACGCTATCACCCTCTTCCGTTTCGCTTCCAAAAACGACATGTTTCGGCTGTTCCACTAACAGAAGACAAAACAAAACACAACACTTGATTTTTCAGGATTAAGTTTATCCTATATGGCCAACCCTTCTTATTAGGAAGCTCACGGTTTTTTGGGGTTTTTTTTGTTTTTCAATAAACAAAAAGATCTTTATTAAAACATTTACACTTAGGGAAGAAAGAGGTATTTGCATCATACGTGGAATGTTGAAGAAACAGTTAAAATAATGACTCTGAGCACAGCTGGGGCTGGTTCAGACTCTGCCTGAGATACAGAGTCTCTCAAGTACCGGACGGAGCATCCAGTAAGCTCACTCCCCACTCGCCTCACTTATCTCTGTGACAATGTCTATCAGGCTCTGGAGCCCAAAGATACAGCCAGCATCCTGGTCCTCATGCACCACAGTGTCCTCGCCATACAGCCTCCAGGTAGTGTGTGCAAAGTCGATCACATGCACGTCCACTGAGCTGGCACCAATGGGCTTGTAGGAATAGGCACCAGCATTCTCATCAGCCGATTCCCCTGACAGGTCCTCCAAGTCTTCAGCATCCGAGTCCAGGGCCACTTCAGGCCACTCCTTGCCATCACAGATAAGCAGCAGGGGTTCGAGTGGAAACGGTAGGACTCCTGTCACTCCAGCACTGCTTCCAGCTTAGCCGGCTTCTTGAGCACAGGGCCCAGGAGCTCACAGTGCAGGTACCGCCCATTGCAGAACTAGAAAAGCGCTCTTAGACCTGCACTGACAGCTTCTGCCCATGGTACTTGTTCGTGAACATGAGCTGCCCAGTGCCTGCCTGGTGCAGCTGCATGCCACACACCACACACACACACACACACACAACACACACACACAACACACTGCTCACATTTTCGGATCTGCTTGGCTGCTTTCTCTTCTGAAGCATCATCGCCATGCTGGCGTGTGCCCATCTTGAGGTCCAGGACACAAGGCACCTCACAGAAGGAAGTTAGGGTCTCCAAAAAGATAAATTTGTACTGGTTCCAATGCTTTGCATTCTCCTTCATTCTCTGTACTGGTGTTGGTGACATTTCATGCTTCAAGGGTTATAATGTTTAAGCTGGGAACTTAGATTCCCCTTTTTTTCTACACTGTAGTATAAGACTTCAAATTTCTTTTAGCCACTCAATTTCTTCTTCTAGCTTATGGCTCTTCATCTTCTCCTCTTTCTGGTGCTGGGGCACCCAATCCTTGGGGGGTCTTTTCCATTTCTAGATCGTGATGCTTTTTGTTTGTCCACCTCATGAGCTTATTTTTTGGTTCACAGTCTGAATTATCTACAATATCTATAGAACCATGGTCCCCTTTTAATGGAGATGATATTAAACAGAAGTTTTTGGATCACAGTCTGAATTATCTACAATATCCACAGAACCATGGTCCCCCCCCTTTTAATGGATTTGCTATTAAACACAAGTTCCTGTCTTCATTTTCTTCAAAGTGTACACATACCACACTTTGTACTGGGTAATGAATTTGCATATCTCGGCTGGGAGGGTCTCATAGAACTGGTTCCAGGGCACCTCCCTTGATACCAGGGGCTTTCATATGGTCGTTTCATTGAAGCGGAGAACGTATGAGTGCCCCCCAACCTGGTGGACAAAGGCTCCAGCAGGACACACTGCTGAGGGGCTCCACATCCATGGCCCTGAAGACTGAGCTCATCCTCAGGACACAGGTGGCAGGGAGAAAGCAGTGGGGTCCAGCAGCCAGTGAATCCTCTGTCTGCTGTCTTTGTGTTTGTCTGTCGGAAGCTCATTTTTGAAAAGTTTTTATTTTAAAAACTTTAAGAAAAAATTTTTACATATTTTACATTTTGGGGGGTTTTTTCATTAGTTCCTGTAGGAGTCATCCATGAAATCAATTTAAATCACCCATCTCAACAGAATGGTCATTCTACTAAGAAATACATTCTGTCTATATACTCAGTCTTAAGTATCTAGAATTAAGAAAATTTTAAGAAGGTTTCAATCTTACCTAAGTTGTCTGTTTACCTGTTGAGTTTTCTGACTTTCTGCACTAAGATTTTCAGGTCTCATGATGAGAACTAATTAAGTGAAAACTCTAAGGAAAGAGACATGCTTGCGTGCTCACTTTAGGCTCAGAGCCTTCATGCTCAGTGTTGTTGGCATCCGGGCTGCACAATTCTTTGTTACTTGGGCTGTCCTGCAGGATGTCCTCCAGCGTCCCTGGCCCCTACACACTAGAAGACAGAAGTAACTCTCTACACCTACACTGAGTGACAACAGAAAGTGTCTCTAGACTTTGCCAAATGTCCTTCCCCAGGCCCACTGAGAACCACTGCTCTAGGCACAGATTTCTCTCTCTCTCTCTCTCTCTTTACCTGCTTCACTGGAAAGCTCTCACTCACTCCTCCAAAAGGCAGCTCCCCACAGATGCATTAGTTCAAGTATGCTGGTGACCAGCTAACTGAGCTCGCCCCTCCTAAGCAAAGCCACTTTTCCTTGGAAACTCCCTCAATGCCAACTTGGCAGGGCATCCCTTGTCCACTCAGTGGCTTTCTCACACAAAGCCAGCCTCACACTGTGCCCCTGAACAGGGGACAGCAGGAACAGCAGGTATTTGGGCAAACAGCACTCATGTTTGACACTTGTAAAACCTCCAAATACAAATTTCTACCTGATCAGCTCTTACCTACAGCTTGAAAACAAAAATTTTAGAATGAACCAAGTCTTTCCCTTAAATGTACGCAAAGATTCTTTTTTGTGTGTGGAGGGGGGTATTTTTATTTTTTCATTTATTTATTTTTTATTATTCATTTATTCACATGTGCATACATTGTTTGGGTCATTTCTCCCCCCTCCCCCTTCCCCATCCTCTCCCCCTTTCTCCCCTCAGTTCCAGGCATGTCCTGTTCTGCCTTTATCACTAGTTTTGTTGAAGAAAAGAGACAAGCATAATAAGGAAGACAAATGTTTTTGCTAGTTAAGGATAGCCATACAGAAATATTCCTAGCATTGCTTTCGTGTACACGTGTTATGACCCATGTTGATTCATCTCTAACTGATCTTTACCCCGGTTAACTGATGCCCTTCTCATGATAACCTCTGTCATTTTAAGGTTTCTGTATTAGCTCCTCTGGAGTGGGGACATCAAACGCTTTCATGTTTTGGGTTTTCTACCTATTTTTATAGACAACGATTCTAAATATCTCTGCCAGGACAATCTAAGCAAAACTAAAAGTCCCATGTATATAAATCTAGGAAGCCGAAAACCCCCTTTTGGAAGTCTTTTCTAAAAATTCCCCACCCCTAATGAACAGGATTTGAATTCAGCAGCTTATCTCTGAGGCTTATAAATGTACTTACCGAAATTATTAGAACCTTATGAAAAAATGAGATTCTGAAATTGGGGGAACAGGAAATACAAAAGGTTCAAAATCATTCCAATCTCCTTAAATAACCCAGGCGCTCTGTCATCCAGATTTGCTTCAGCAGACTGCTGCTATGAGGAAGTTTATTGCCACTCAAGCAAATCAACCCAGGGTGAGAAGGGCTGGGCAGAGCCGAGTTAGAGTTAAGACATAGAGCTTTTTAGGTCATCTTCCTTTATTCAAGGGTTGGGGAGGACAGGCACTGTGGTGTGATCCTTGCTTCCTTAGAAGTACACTGGTCATCGAGGCCCTACTCACCTTGGAAGGAATACACAGCTCATTCCATTCAGAGAAGGGTCTAGAGCGTGTGGGAGATGTCTCAAAACTCACTCTCTCCCATATCAGGCTTTCCAGATTCATCAAAATTATAGCTTTTACTCTTTCCTGGTTTACTTTAAGAAAAAAGAAGTAGGCTGGGGGCATGGCTTAAGTGGTGAAAGCGGCCTGCCCAGCAAGTTTGAGGTCCTGAATTCAAATTCCAGTACCACAAAAAAAAAGGAGGAGGAAGAGGAGGAGAAGGAGGAGGAGGAGGAACAGGAGGAAAGAAGAGAAGAGGAGGAGGAGGAAAGGAAGACGAGGAAGAGGAGAAGAGGGAGAGGAGGAGAGGATGAGGGGAAAAGGAGGAGGAAGAGGGGAAGGAGGAGCAGTAGGGGAAGAGGAAGAGGAGGAAGAGAAGGGGAAGAGGAGGAAGAAGAGAAGGAGAAGAAGGGGAGGAGAGGAGGAGGAGGACAGGAGGAGGGGAGGAGGACAAGGGACAAGAGGGGGAAGGAGGAAGAGAAGGAGAGGGAGGAGGAAGAGGAAGGGGCGGAGGGGAGGAGGAGGAGGAGAAGGAGAGGAAGGGGGAAGAGGAAGAAGAGGAGGAGGAATAGAAGGAGGAGAAGGGGAGGAGAGGAGAAGGAGGATAGGAGGAGGGGAGGAGGAGGAAGAGGAGGAGGAAGAGGAGGTGGTGAGGAGGGCAAGGAACAGGAGGGAGAAAGAGGAAGAAGAGGAGGGGGAGGAGGAGGAAAGGAGGAGGAGGAGAAAATTAATCAAATGGTGAAAATATAACATAGCAGGCATGAGACCACCATCTATAGAAAAGCCTGTTCATAAGGCTGGCCCTTGGTTGGCATCCAGAACTGGGATTTCAGAAGGATCTTCACTATTCTCCAACTGACAAAAAGAATTCACTGGGCCTAACCCGTACAAACAGACAGTTATTTTCAGTTTATGTTGAACACCTGCTTTCCTTCTGGGAGTCTGAAGTATTGCTCTCTGCTAAGCAGAAAGTGCCCCCATGAGAACATGCCTATAGCTCTCGTGACTCAAACATTAATTAGGAAAATTACCTGGCAGCTTTTTTCCTGTTTTCCCAGTGTACTTAACTTCATAAATTTGCTCAAATATTAATATCAGTTCTCTGACAGCTTCTTCCACATGCTTACTTTTGTGGTTTAGAATATCAGCCCATTCTTTTGTGTATGTCTATTAAATAAAGAAATGCTTATTAATTTTCACATACCTTCAAATTATTAATATGACCTTAATCTATTAAACTATAATTTATTTCACCTGAAAATAACCAGAGGGGCTAGGGTAGCCAACTCAGTGGCAGAACGCTTGCCTAGCATGCCGGAGGCCATGGGTTCCATCCCTGCACAGCCATCAATCAATCAGTCAAGAAATCAATAAGAGGTGGTTGCTAATGGCACAATGCTTCAGATTCGAATTGCCAATGGACAAAAAGCACAGTTGCAAGGGCTCAAGAAAAGCAGAGAAGAAAAAGAAAAATCTAACCTTTGACCTATATCTCACTCTATCATAGAGATAGAAAGATGTCAAAAGTTGAAATTGAGATGAGGTTTCATTTATTTGGTACTGGAGTTTGAACTCAGGGCCTTGTACTTGACAGGCAAGTGCTCTGTCACTCAAGCCAGGCCTCCAGCCCTTTTTGTTTTATGTTATTTTTCAGATAGGGCCTCATGATTTTTGTCCAGGCCTGACTCAGACTGCATTTCTCCCTACCTATGCCTCATGCATAGCTGATATTACAGTATGCACACCCATGCTGATTTTTTTGTTGAGATGAGGTATCGCTATCTCTCTCCCTCCCACATGGCTGGCTTCGAACTGAGATCCTCTCAATCTCTACCTCCCTAGTAGCTGGGATTATAGATGTGAGCCACTATGCCCAGAAAGACACAGTTTTAAAAGAGGACAGTCCAAAGTGCTGCTTTGAAATTTAAATGAGATAAAGTTTTTCATTGAACATGGTGCTGCATGTCGGCATCCCATGTAAGACTACTTTGTGTGTATTATTTAATTTATTTAATTTAATAGCATATCCTTGAGATAATTAAGACTATGATCCCCATTTCACAGATCAGAAAACCAAGGCTCTGAAAAGGTAAGAGATTCATCTAGGACACAGTAGTTGGTAAAAATCAGGGCTTGAGTCAGCTTTGTGTGATTCTAAAAACTTGTGCTTTGCCTTTCTGACCATTTCCAATAGTTAGCAAAGGCTTTAGGAAGAAGTCGAGTGCTGGTCAAGTTCAGAAAAGAAAACTGGCTTAAAAAATTGAGGAAGTCTTCAAACACATCCAACAGCACCCAGGCATTTCAGAAACAGTAAATGTGAACAGACAACCTGGGCTTCAAAACCACATCTGAGAAGGAAACTGAGACTCTTCATAAAAACTCTCTCCAGACAAGCACAAGGTCCCACAGTCCCCTGTTCTGCTCCCTCGTCTTCCTTTCTTGGCTACTTAACCTGTATCTGGACCTCTACTCAGCTTTGATAGTACGGGGAAAATGGTGTTCCTCCTCCTACCCAAAGACATTCTCTGGTCCTCTCCATCCCCACTACTGTTCTGACCTTGCTTCATCATTCATCCCTTCCCTTTTAGTTTAGTCAACAAAGTGCTAAACACTGGAATGGCGATAGTGGCAAAGGACACAAGAGGACACTTCCAGCTGATCATAGTAGACTGGAAACGTGTTTATATGCACTCCCTGCTAGGAAAACCCCTTAGAAAGGAACCAGATACTACTACTTAAATTGGCAGATTGAGCAGGTTTCTCTTAGCATTCCCCCAAAGTCTCCAGAATCCTCAACTACTGAAAAACAGTAATCTTAAAAAAAAAAAAAAATGCCATAAGAACAAATGGGAGAATGCCACATAAATTCTTCTGGAAAATGTTTGTAATACTACATAATAACAAAGCTACTAGGACCCATCAGTTGGTGCAGGACATCTGATGATCCACTTCCAAAGAATGAAATTGGATTCTTTCTTTGCCCTATTCAAAAAATTAACTTAAAGGGCAAAACTGAAGAGCTAAAACTAAAGAATCCTTGGAAGAAAACACAGGCAAAATCCTCATGACCTTGTATTAGGCAAAGTGTTTTTTAGCTTTGACACCAAAGACAGAGAGCAACCAAAGAAAAAACAGATAAAATGGACTTCATGAAATTAAAAACATTTGTGCTTCAAAAAACACCACGAAGAAGTGGGTAAAGGAACAAGGGAAGGGGTAAATGTGTTCAAAGTATATGTGCTTATGGAATTATCACAATGAAGCCCCCTTGTACTATCAATGTTTGCTAACTAAAATAAAATTAAAAATTTTAGAACACCATAGAGAAAGTGAAAGGACAAGCCACAGAATGGGAGAACATTTTTGTAATTCATATATCTGCTAAAGGGTGTGTATCCACAAAGAACCATTACAATTCAAAAATAAAAAGACCATCCAACTTAAAAATGAGCAAAGGGTCTGAATAAATATTTCTGAAGAAAATAGACAAAAAGGTTACCAATGTAGAGCACATGGGTGCTCAGAATTGGGACTCACTTCACACTCACTAGGATGGCTATGACCAAAATGACAAAGGGTAACAAGTGTCTGCAAGGATGTAGAGAAACTGGAACCCTCCTACACTGCAAATGACGCAGCCACTTTAGAAAACAGTTGTTTAAAAGGTTACATAGAGTGAACACATGACCCAGCAACTCCACTCCTATATATGTATTATATATATATATATATATATACACATGCATTATATATATGATATATATATCCAAATGAAATGAAAACATTTGTCCATACAAAAATGTGTACACTTAATGTTCATGACAGCATAATCCATAACAGCCAAAATGTAGAAACAACCCAAAATGCCCATCAAGGGATGAGTGAACAACTAAAATGTGGCATAACCATACAATACACTATTATTCACAAATAAAAATACATGGAGCTCTGATATATGTGACACTGAATGAACTTTGAAAACACTGTGCTAAACGAAAGGAGCCAGTTGCAAGACTCCATGTTGTACAATCAAGGTACAGGAAACATCCAGGACAGGCAAATCTGTAGGAGCTGATAGTAGACTAGTGGTTGCATTAGGGCTAGGCGAGTTGAGAGGAAATGTGGAATGACTAACTGCCAATGAGTACACACAGCGTTTCTTCTAGGGTGATGGTTGCTCACCTCTGGAGATAATAAAAACCACTGAGTTGTACCATTTAAATGTTTAGTTGCACAGCATGTGAATTTTACCTTCATAAAACTTAAAAAGATAATAATTGGTGCCAGAACGAATTTGAACCAGAAATTAGAGAAAGAAAAACGAATGGGTGGTGGAAAAGCAGCATGAATACGGATTTGGAGAAGTTCGGCTATGAAGGGGAAGTGAAGGGAGGCTTGGGAAGATTTTCGTTTCTGTTGACAGGGAAAAGATGATAGCATACTAGACTACTGGTGAAAGGGAACCAGAGGAGAGTGCCAAGGAGAAGATGTGAAAGAGACAAAGGTCACCAAGAGGGGAGAAGACCTTGGATCTACAGCTCAGTTAGAAGACCTTGACTTTAAAGGTGGAAACTTTCTCCATGGAACCAGAAGGAAGGGAAGATGGATGCACAGGCAGTCAACAGTTGGCTCTGAAAGCCATATACGTGATTAATTTAGAAACAATCTCTGCCACTCGCTCAAGACTACTTGAAGGACACTTTCCCATTCACGTCCTTCCAGCCCATTCTCCACTCTCCTTCTGTAAAGTGGAAAGCTATCTCTTGGGACTCCCTTCTCTGGCTTCCAGTTGGGTTTGGCTCAATGAGGGCACCAGCAGAAGCTAGGAGAGTGGGAGGAGAGAGAGTTGGCAAACAGTGTGTGATGGTTAACAACTGCTTGACCCAAACTAACCTTAACGCCCAGAATTAGTGCAGTATAGGTCATGTTTCCAGGACTGATTTCTCCCCAGAGTGTTACCTGGTTTGCCCTGTCCTTACAAATCATCTTTTCCTTTACTACAATGATCCACCAGGGTAGGTGGTAGATTTGTGGGAAGGTAGTCCAAGGCTAGATCTTAGGTCACTCCAGGGCAAGTGACTGCAGCAGACTGATTGGCAAAGGCACTTTTCAAATTCAGCCTCCTATATCTTGGCTTACAGCATTAAAGCAGACCATTTATGTAATGGGAATAATTTCTTCTGCTGTCCCATCAACACAAATACCAGTCACACTCAGTGACTCTTAGGCAATCCCAATTTCCTTCCTTGTTGTGTCTATTTCTCTTTCTATACATATAAATTTCTTCATGTGTTCAAAACAAATTCTCTGTAGTAGTATGAACTTAGCAATTCATAGTGCCAACATAGTTATGAATGTACACTGCAAGAAGATGATTTCATTATAAATGGGACAGAAAGAAGGAAAATGATGCAGCCAGACTGCACCCGTGGAAAATGAGCCATCCTCAGATGTATCAAAAAGGACGCTAGCAAGACCACCCAAACCAGCAGAGTAGGTACAATGGAAGCACAAGGTAGGTGCAGGAGTGAAAAAAAGAGTTTAGTTCAAGGTACAAAGTGAGTGCTTTTACAAGAGATTGCATTACATGCCAGGCCTCGAAAATGAGTACACAGGGTTCCTGTCTTTATACTTTTGAGTTAACAGAGGGTGAATAGATATCCAAATAATTTCAATAAAATGCAGTGAAAGGAGGTAAGATATGTGCCATTGAGAGAGTCAACCTGGGGAGTTGTACAGTCAGACTTGGTGGCAATGTGGATGGATATGAACTGAGCCAAACATGGAAGCAGAGAGACCAGTTAGCTCACAACATACACTGCTAACCTCAAAATGAGCTTTGTGTGCCTGACCTAAGAAATGGGTAGGAGGTATGGAAAGGAAGAGATAAAGCAAGCAAGATCTGGGTAAGAGGCAAAACCTGGCGGGGCCTGAAGATGGCTAGATTTAGAGAATAGGAGTAAAGAAAGGTGATTATCAATTGAGTGACTTAAAGGGAAACTAGGTTGGAGTTAAAACCCTGAGGAAATTTCTATGACTCTGGGAGCATGCACAGAGGATGAAGAGCCATGGATCACTGGCAGAGCCCCAGCAAATTCTAGCATTAGGTTAAGGATATTGGTGAAATAATGGTCAGGCTATGGCCAAGGGCTGGAGCTGCTGGAGCCACGTAAGCCTTTGTTGCTGAGGATATCCACAAAAAGCCAACCCCCCCAAAAAAAATGCTACAAGACCAGATGCCTACTTTTAGAGTATCAATTCACATTTTAGTTTGTGACTCAGTATTTGGGGATTATAATGTAATAAATTAATGCATACCTCATTGAGGGTCAACATATCTTCTACTTTGGTAGCACCACTTTCAGGCAAGGAAATCAGCACAGTTTTGGCTATCTCCTTTAGAACTGTATCAATATGCATTTCACACAAGTCACTGACCTAACAATAAGAAAAAAAAATCCTTTAAACCAAAACAAACCCTCTTTTTCCCTTTAGTGCTAGCTTTTCGCCCAAAGTGTACTTGATTTATAAATTAATTTAGAGGACTAAACCTGGAAACTTGCATCCCCACTCAAGCATAATTTGGTGAAAATTTTAGGAATACATGTACAAAGAAAGCTTGACACGAAACTGAAGTTTTCTTTGTGTGTGTTGGGTATTTTCGAGATAGGGTCTCAAGAACTATTTGCCAGGGCTGGCTTTGAACCATGATCCTCCTGATCTCTACGTCCAAGTAGCTAGGATTATAGGTATGAGCCACCAGTGCCCAGCCTGAAGTTTTCTTAAGCAGCAAACGTGTGCCATAATCTCATGCTTTATCTCCTTTGATTTTTATTCCAGCAGATGAGACATTAATATCCCAGCTTTCTAGCTAAAGACACCAAGGCTCAGAAAAGTCAAGTAACTTACAAGAAACAGATAGCTAGAAATGGCAGAGAATCTACCCAGTTTTATCAGACTGCAAAGCCTCTGAGTTTGTCTATTATGTGTAATGCAAATGACAGATAGACTAGCACATTAAAAAGAAATGCACAGTCTATGCAGCAAACATGTCAGAAGTCAATGAACATTCTCCAATTACACTAATGCTTTGATTAGTTAATATTAGATGCCTAATATTAATATTTAGTCAGTCCACTCTGCCATCTTCAACATCTGCCAACATCCCATTTTGTAAACTGCAGTGTATCGAGTTGAAGCATCATTTTAACATATTGAAGGCAAAGTACGCATGGATGAGCACAAGGCCCAAGTCAGTAAAAGATGCATAAAACACTATTTTAACCTAACGGATGTTCATTTAATGGTTACGTCCTTTAAAGAGCTTTTATGTAGAATCAAACTCTTACTTATATCCTAATTATTAATATATACAGATTATTTAAATTTATCAATTTGACCTTCTTTAAAAGTTGGTTGAACATATCCAAAACGGATTCAACTTCCTGAAAGAAGCTTTCCAGAGTTAAAGATGACCACGTCAATATGGTGAGCCCTTCCCGCAACACAGATTCCACCTGGAAGAAGCACAAGGGAGCAACCCACTATTAACAGCAGTGTCTGTGTGTATAGAACCGAGCTTTTACTTTAAATCATCTTTGGCTGTGAAGGAAGTAATCAGGGATTGTTAGATAGGGCTCATGATTTAGACTTAGTTGGTTTTCAAAGACAACAAAACAGATAAGGACTCACCTTCAGTGGGGGAAAAAAAGAGCTATCGAGTTGAAATAGAAAGATAGAGGATGTAAGCAAGAAGAGATGGCCTAACTACAATCTATCAAATCAGAATCCAATTTTGAATAACTGAGAAATTAAAAAAAAAAAACCTTCAGTATTACCAACCTGTTTCATTTTAGGGGTCATCAGATTGACAAACACAGAAGGCACTTCCTGACATAAATCATCATAATACTGCAGAAGACCCTATAAAAATCAATATGGCATAAATTACTTTAATCCATGTTAAAGCAATAGTCACATTTTGACTAACAGCAGAAAGGTTTCATGTCACCTATTTCCTCATGAGGACTGTTCCTCTACATTTATTCTGATTTACTCACTTTTTCATCACCTGTAGATTACCTGAGCATTCCCTTTAAGCAAGTTAATGGCTCTGTCTGGGGAGAGGTTTTTTTTGGTTTTTTTTTGTCTTTTCTTTTTTGGTGCTGGGATCGAACCCAGGGCCTCACGCATGCTAGGCAAGCGCTGTACCACCGAGCTACATCCCAGCCCAATGGCTCTGTCTGACTTTCATATTTGTTATTTCTTTTTGTAGATGTTACATTATGGGATAACTAGCTGTTTATGGTATCTATTATAATATTTTCCCCTTTCTCTTCCTTATCTTCTGGAACACTAAAATATATTTACCACCAGAAGCCACAATGCTTCTTCTTTTTTTTTTTTTTTTTTTGGTGGTACTGGGGTTTGAACTCAGGGCCTCATGCTTGCTAGGCAGGTGTTCTACCATTTGAAAGCACTCCATCAGCCCACAATTGCTTCTTGAATCTAAATAAAGTTACTTTCTCCATACAACCAGAATAAACCTTTATGTTTTCTACTAGATATTTTTTAGAAATGAACCATGATAATCAATTTTTGACACATTTGTAATTTATTACAGTATGTGGTGAGAGATGTAGAGTCAAGTTACTTCTTCCCTCAAGTTAATAATATCAAATGATTTCTGTTTTCACTTAGTAGTTTCAAAGATCTTGATTCCTTTCCTCCTCATCTGCTACTTGTACACTTGGACTTCCATGATATCACCCAGTGCTAACTAAGTCCTGTAAGATGCAACACAAGTGATATTCTTCTCATCTAACAGCACTCAATCCTCCAAAGTCACAACTGTCTAGTCCACAAACCAAAAGCTTTGATGCTGAACTCAGTTTCCACATGTCAGTGCTCTTCAGAGTTCTTTTGCTATAACAATTATGTATATTTCATGAACAGCTAAGACTATTAAGCTCTTGGAAGAAAGCACAGGCATAAATTTTGGTGACCTTGGATTAGGCAAAGATTTCTCATCTATGACCATAAAAGTACATGAGACAAAAGAAAAGTAGATAAATTAAACTTCAACAAAAGTTGAAGTATTTGTATTTCAAAGGACATCATTTATAAATCAAAAATGAAAAAGACAACTCAATTTAAAAAGGAGTAAAGGAAGACACTCCTCTAAAAATCTACAAACATCCAATATGCCCATGGAAAAATACTAAGGGGAAAGCAAATCAAATTCCACCTCGCATACACAAGGTCAGCTCAAATGAAAAAGTTGGGCAGTAACAAGTAATTTCAAGAATGCAGAGAAACCACAACCTTCATACACTACTGTTGAGAATGTAAAATGATGCAGCCACTCAACCAATATCTGGGAGGTGTGGCTCAAGAGGTACAGCACCGGCTCTGCAAGTATAAAGCCCTGAGTTCAAACCCCAGTGCCCCCACCAAAAAAAAATCAATAGCTGGGTGTGATGGTGTGCGCCTATCACCCTCAAGTTTTTCCAAGTTTTCAGAAGTTTTTCCTCAATGTCAGCATACCTGCAGGGTTGTATTTTTCTTACACCAAAAAACTCCTTTAAAAATCATCAGAAAACACCATCAATCTTACCTGCAAGTAGAGTTTGTCTGCTTTCAACTTGCTTTCCAATTTTAGCAATTTCTTGGCCTGTTCTGGAACATCCAGCTTCATCTTGATCATGCACTTCGTTTCCCGCACAACTTCCAAAATTTTGGGGTCAAAATTAACCAGTAACTTCCCTGTTTCTGGATGTCGCACAAAGAGCGTGGCTTGTAAAGCTGCAAATGAATGACTGTTGACAACACTTACTCTTTTCTGCTTCCAGTTGTTTACATGTATGACTTCCCCATTGAACTGTTGACTTCTCCCTTAAGGGCAAAACAATAGTTCCGGAGGGCCAGGTCCTAAGGCACAGAGTCTGGCACATAGTAAAAACTTAGAAAATGAAGACAAGGTGTCTTCAAAGCCATCAAATCAGATTCAGAGAGATAAAACTTGACCAAACACTGACAGCCTTTGTGCTGTGAACTGTGACACTTTTCTGAATGGGTCAAAGAGACCTGGAGTTTGTTTTTGCACATTACTATGCCTTAACCCATGAAAAAGAACTGGAAGATGGGCAGAACTACAAAAGATGACACACAGCATAAATTTTAAATGTTTTTCACCCTGATCCAAAACTGGGATACCTGCACTACAAGGTTTACCTGCACTAAATCTCCATGCTGAATTTCTAATAACGAAGCTCAGTATGAGAAAGAAATAGTTATTAAACAGCACTGAGTTGCGATCTCTTAAAATGTGGAACCTGATTGTTTTATATCACATCACACATGAACATCACTCATACAAACAGCCACTTTCAGATCTGCTTTTAATTTTTGACTTGAAATCTACAATCCCAAACAGTTCTTGCTGGGTGGCCTTAGATTATTTGATTATTTGTTATGCTAACATGAATTACTGCTAGAGGCACAGTAAGAAGCATTTACAGACTGGTGTGTGTTAGCTCAAATTACATCTTATTTTAGCAAACACTCCTGACATGAGAATTTCATTATCAGCCCAGAGTCTTCCAAGCCTCATATGTCGCCTCACAGAATGTGGCAGCATCAAATTTGTAGCAAGACAAATTTCTCAATATTCCTTTGATATTTTTTACCCACATGATAAAATTAGTCTTGATAAGGTACAGTGTTAATGGTGCAGGTTTTGTGAGGGTTCCAACTAAGAATTTTATGCAGTACATTTGGGATCTTTTTTGAATTGGGTTAGAAATCATTTATCCTCCCAAGTAAATTCCAAAATAACTTTGAACATTCATTTAATAAAATCTTTCTCCTTAAGAATACTGAGGTTGCTCCAAAGGACAAACAAGGTCAGCAACATGACTATGACAGACCAATAGTGACAGCCAGGCAAGTTGCTCAGGGACTGAGTGAGCATTTCATTCTGTGTGAATCTCCATCAGAGAAACGCTATAAAGAAACCAACTAAAAGAGGCTGATATTCAGCCTCAATTATTCTTCTGAGTTCCTACATAACAGTTAAGATAGTCACATCAAGAGAACAACAGCAAGCCTTCCAGAACAACAACTTTTGTGTGAGCCTGCACTCACAAGAAAATTTTAATTGTATCCTTAGTTTTACTTGTGATCACCTCTCGTGGGCATCGATCCACTGTCACAAGACAATTGCACCGGGTAAGTGTCAAATGATGTTCTCAGGGAAAACAAACTCTCCAGAAAACTTGAGACAGTTCCCACTTATCAACACTGTCTCAGCTCTGTTTATGAGATATTTATTTAAAGAGTCCCCAAGCATGCCTGCTGCCAATCTTGTCACTTTTAGAAGCAGTACGATATAATGGTGAAGAGAAGAGGTTCAGGAACCTGACTACCTGAATTAAATCCAGGCTCTGCCATTTACTAGGTATTCTACCTTGGGCAAGTCACTTAACCTCTCGGTGCCTCAGTTTCCTCATCTAGTACTCAAGGACAATAATGGTTCCCTGAAGGGTTGCTCTTAAAGGGATTTGTATATGTGAAGTGCTTAGACAAACCTGGAACACTGGTACACACTACATACATGCTAGCTATGACCATTATTTAAAGGATGTACCATGAGACAGACACAGAGAGCATACTTGGAATGTATAGAGGAGGTAAGGTAGATATACAAAGCAATAAATGTCATAAGAAGCAGCTAAAGATGAAAAAGACTGAGGTCTCTGAAGGACAAAGACATTATTTTCTGCTAGGAAGAATATGGACTTTATAAAACAAGTCTGTGTTGAGTTTGTTTTTGAACACGTGCAGATAAAAGGAAGGGCAGTGGGGGCAGAAAAACCACCAGGACCAAAAAAAAAAAAAAAAGTAGACTGCTGGGGACATAGCTCAAGAGGAAAAGTGCACGACATTGTAGAAACAAAGTAGTACACACTCCATACTTCCCTCGTTAAAATTCCCCTTTCACCTTTTCTGATAGTGTGAGTTGAGCTCATCTTGAAGCTCCTTTGAGAGTGTAGCTCCATAAACAGGTTTTCAACAGAATCCGCAGGGTCCACTTACAGCAGTTACCCAGAAACAGCAGGCCCCCTAAAGTGGCTTACTGAAGGCATAACTATGGTGACCATTTGGGGATGGCACCCTGCAGGAGTTGGGAGCTGTCCTGTGGGATGCAGGTTTGCAGTGAGTCAGTGGCCTCTATTTAACTTCCTTGTCCCAGAGGTAATCTACATGAGCTCTGGAACCAATAAGCAGAAACAGAATGGCCTCTCTCACCATCACTCCCAGTAATACACCCGCAGAATTTGGGCTTTCCTCTGCCTGCAGTTCCCTGACCTGTAAGTGGAGATCCTGGTTTGGGAGGGAGAAGGTATTCCAACTGGAAATTCAGTAACAGTTCCACAAAGGTCACGGATAAGAGCTTAAGGTTGAGGTAGGACAAAGCTGACAGATGAACTGAGCAACAGCTGAGTCCACACAGGAACAACATGACAGCCGATGCCAGCAGGGATAACACAATGAAGAATCATTCTCTGCCTGGCACTAAACTCTGTCTAAAGTCTTGGCCCATGGAAATCCTCCCCTCCTGAGTGCTCCAGCCAGCCCTAACACTATTAAATTGCTAATGCAGTAATAGAAAAAGAAAAGGGGGTGGAGGGAAGGAGGAAAGAAGGAAGGCTGCAATTCTTTCTCCCCTGATAGAGACTGAGAGTTGAATCTATGACATGATAAAACTTAATATGAAAACCTTCAAAAATCTATGAAGAAATATCTCCAAAGATACTATTTGACTTTTAAAGACTGTTTTTTAGGGGAAAGTCATAATTTTAATTATATCAACTTTAAAAGTCATGACAATTTTTTTTATAAAATCAGAATGGTAATAACCATAAACAAATAAAACATTGTACATCCTTAAGTCTAAATTTTAATTACCTTAACATTACATGAAAGGGATGCAAAACGTTCTCCAGAGCCACGAGCCCATTCAAAATGACCAAGACCCCCCACCCAGTGAGCCTCCCTCCACAGTCTTACACTCACCGTACTGCAACTGTGAAATCTCTTTGACCCAGGCTGTGTGATAGACCACCTCGAATTCCACCAGCACATAGGAGATTTTGTTATACTGTCGGATGACAGCTTTCCCTTCTGCACTTGACAAAATTTCTGAGTTTTTCTGGGTTTTTTAAGGAAATTTTAAAGAGAAAGGTGTATTTCAAGAGGTTGCAGATTGTTTTCGTGAGCTGTTTATATTTTAAGTGACATCCAGCATTTATGCTACCTGTTTAGATTTCTGTCTCAGAATAAAGCAGAGGTGGGGAAGGCCACAGAAGCTAGAATGGGAGTAGGGGACAATGCCAGTAGAGAGGGAATGCTGGAAAAGGAAAGAAATGACTTAAAAAGAGAGGCCTGCAGGTCCCACAGCCACCCCAGTCATTCAGAATCTCTACCTTCAATTCTCTAGTCCCTCCCCACTTCCCTGAACAAGGTACAATTCACTGATACTCTTTGAACAATGAATATTAAAGCAAATTCCTAAATTCTAGCAGGAAAAAATTTAGCCCTATATGAAAGAATAAAAACTGAATTCCTTTTTGTAAAAATTCAAAGATTGAGGTTTCTATGCACATATGTCACTCAGAATGATTTTTTTTATCCCACTGTTACAGCAATGGAGCCTCCACCAGGCCTCTTGTCTAAGGCCAGGGCTTTCATTTTTTTTTTAAATATTCAGAATAATGAGGGTGGAAGGCATGGCTCCAGAGGTAGCATCTGCTTCACAAGAGCAAAGCCCTGAGTTCAAACCCCAGTACCACTAAAAGAAAAGAAAAAATAATGATACTAGTGAAATCAGTGGTAGCTAAGAAGAAACTTCATGTTTAATAATGCACTAATAATAAAATTACTTTCAAGACTACCGTTCTGCAGTTATTTTGTTCTCTATTCAGGCATAAGACACAGCAGCAAGCAAACCAACTCTACTCTGCTGCTCTGTCTCTTAAATAAAAACAAAGCTAAAACAAAGAAAAGACACCTTCATTAGTGGCAGTTTCATTAGTCTATGTGGCCTACAATACCCTGTTTTTCAGAAATCCAATAATCTTAAGGATGCAGAGGGTGAGCACGTCCTACAGGAATTCACACAATAGCCTATCTCTGCCTTCATTAAATACACATCTGTGATCCATCTGTCCACACATATAAGGAAGCTTCAGCACTAGGCCTGTGCTTTATTGTGCTTTCAGAACCGTAATTTTTAAAACCCTTTATGAAGTGTCTTGTGTGTTATTAAAAGACATCACATTATAAGATTCACCAACTTGAGATAACTGTAATTGAACTGGCTTATCTGCTAAATATGAAAAGAATTGTCATTGTCTTGGTCTCTCTCTACCATGTTTACAATCTAAATTTTCTTTGCGCAGTAAAAGCATTGGCTCTAACTGCTTTATTGAGCACAAATAGTATAGGATAAAATGCATCAGTAATGTGATTTTGTATTCAAACCACCATAACTCACATATTATGAACTTAATTATTGACTTACAAAGAAATAGTTGATGGGCTCATTGATCCGGCGATAGAGCTGCCTCACCCAAAGTATTTTCCCTGCTATTGGGGGCATATTGCGAGCAAGAGGGGGGTCGTCCTTCTGAGAATGATAAAGCTGGAATTAAAATATAAGGTTACTGTTTGAATTCAAACAAAAAAAATTTACAACTATATTTGTACAGTTGTTTCGCCATTATTCACCCATTGCATACACAAGAGATAGTCAATAAACATGTAAATGTACTTCAGAGAGGATAACTTAAGGCTCAGAAGCAATGCTTATGATGCTTAATTCTCTCTTCACCTCTATATACTGTTATATGTATTTTTTTCAATCCTTATCCCACATTTAAGGAGGTATTCCAAAGAGGAAGCACATAGCTATCTGTCACAATAATCTCCAAAGCCTATATTTCTAATATGCAAAATACTAACATAAGTCACCTTTGCTGTACATACAACTGAATACTGTGGCAACTATCAAGAGCAGAGAGGCGTCGAAGTGGCTGTCCAGTGACACACTTCAGGACCTCCCCATATACAGAGAGGAGCCTCAAGGTCCTTCACAGTGAAGGCATTGCTCTGAAAAGCCTGGCATGAAACAATGATGGCAGATTCTTTCAAGATGCTTTTTTCTTTGGTACTAACATATCATTCTATTTATAAACATGACACTCACCTTCTTAGTAGCTTCAAGTTCAGCCACAAAATACTGAAGAATTCGCTCAATTGTGTGACTGATCTCTAATTGAAGACAAGGAATGCTCAGCTTCTGAAATCTAAAAGTAATTGAAACTGAATAATTAAAAGGCAAGTAAGAAATATACTTAAGAGTTGCTGAAGTACTAAACACTCATTCATGCATTTGCCTGAGAGTTGTACCAGGCCTCATGCATGATCTATGTTATATAGTGATGAACAGGTAGGTGTGCACCTAGCTCTTCTGGACCCCTACAGCTACCTTCTTAAAAATGCAGGTTATCAGTCACAAGCTACATGAATAATTATATAAGTTATAAGAGTGCAGAAAATGCATATAATGGGGAACCTAGTCAGTCTGCAGAACTGAGGAGTCAAGAAAGACTTCCCTGAGAAATAAAAGATGGAGGGCTGGGGGCATGGCTCAAGTGGTAGGGCACCTGCCTAGCAAGCACAAGGTCCAGAGTTCAATCCCCAGTACTGAGGTTTGAAAAAAAAAGTAGAGAATTGGCTTAGCAGAAATTGAGAAAAGCATACTGAATGTACCTCTGCCAATGTTAATGGTCACATAATTCCAAATAACCAGTCATAATAATGTCTGTGATAATGGAGAAAATCTTTATCAGCTATACATCTGAGAAGGGATTGATAACTAGAACATATAGGGAGCTCAAAAAAACTAAACACCCAAACCATAAATGACTAATGAAGAAATGGCCAAATGAACTAAACACAGCTTTTTCAAAAGAAGAAGTCCAACTGGCCAAAAAAAACATGAAAAAATGCTCAGCATCCCTGGCCATAAAGGAAATGCAAATCAAAACCATGTTAAGATTCCAACTCACTCCTGGTAGAATGGCTGTCTTTAAGAACACAAACAACAACAAACGTTGGCGAGGATGTGGGGAAAAAGGAAGCCTCATACACTGCTGCTGAGAATGTAAGCTAGCGCAATCACTATGGAAAACAGTATGGAGGCTTCTTAAAAAACTAAGCATAGATCTTCCATATGATCCAGCAATCCCACTCCTAGGGATATAACTGAAAGAATATAAGTCAGGTTACAATAAAGACATCTGCACACCCATGTTTATTGAAGCACTATTCACAATAGCTAAGCTATGGAAACAGCCAAGATGCCCACTACTGATGAATGGATTAAGAAAATGTGGTATTTATATACAAAGAAATTTTATTCATCCACAAAGAAGAATGAAATTTTATCATTTGCAGGTAAATGAATGGAACTGTAGAACATCATCTTAAGTGAAATTAGCTAGATTCAGAAGGCCAAAAGCTGCATGTTTTCTCTCATATGTGGAATATAGACCTAATACAAATACAGCAGTATTGTGAAAAATAGGTCATGGAAAGGGGAAGACACAAGAAGGAAGTTATAAGAAGGTGAATATAGTTGATGTACTCTCTATACAAGAATGAATACAGATTTTTAAACCTGTTGAAACCACCATAAGAAAGGGACTAAGGCAGAAAAATAGAGACGAACCAATTCGGGCTATAATACACATATACATGGAAGTGCCACAGTAAACCCTTGTGCATAGCTATCTTAAACAAGCAAAAATGTCATTTTTTTTCTTTTACAAAATCAGAGAACAGGAGGGCAGAACAGGTCCTGTTCTGGAGGGGGGAAAAGGTGGGGAAAGGGTGTGGAAGGATGAACATAGTGCAAATACTGTGTACACATCTATGTAAATGGAAAATGATGCCTGTTGAAACTATTCCAGGAATGGGGAGAGGGGGAAATAAAGGAGACTGATAGAGGGGGTAAATTCAAGTATGATATATTTAATACATTATAAGAACTTTTGTAAATGCCACAATGTACTCCCACCCAGTACAACAATAAAAAAAAAAATAAAATAAGGAAGCCATGAGGAAACAAAGAAAAAAATAATAATGTCTCTGTGAGCCAAATAGCACTTCCATTTAGAGGCTAAATGATGTACAGGAAGTACATAGAACCATAGTGTTCTGATAATAAAATGAATCCACCACAGCATACTATAGTAGAGAGAGAGACAGAGTCAGGAAGACAGGGAAGTTGCCAAGAAAACAGTACCTGCCAACTGTGCAGAACTATCACTCATGACAATCATTTTATGTCTACTTTGAAACTCCTGATGGTCTCTGAGGCATAGCCATCATCACAGAGATGTGAACTGTGGCAAAGGCAGCCCCAAAGACAGATCTCAGGGAAGATTTCCAAAAGGGCCTCCCACATGGGTCTTCCCTCACCCTCTTTCAACCCAGCTCATCCCTCTAATCCTGACAACCTACTCTTTGGATGAATATTGCTGATAGGAGCAGAGGAAAAGAAGGCTGAAAGAGAGTAGGTTTTAGGTGCTCTTGCCACAAAAAGAAAGGGGGTAACTTGTGAGATGATAGATATGTTAATTGTTTGACATTAGTAACCTTTTCACGATGTATATCAAAACATCATGTACACCTCAAGTACATTCAACAAAATAATTTGGAGGGCAGACCTGGGGTTTGAACTCAGGGCTTCACACTTGCGAGGCAGATGCTCCACCACACCTCCAGCCTTTATTACTTTTCAGGTAGAGTCTCACTATTCCCTGGGGCCGGCCTCAGACAGTGATGCTCTTACCAATGGTCTCCTGCATAGTTGGGATGACAGGCATGCACAATCACACCTGGTTGATTTGTTGAGATGGGATCTCACTAACATTTTGCTCCAGCTGGCCTGGAACAGAGATCCTCCTGATTTCCACCTCCCTAGTAGCTGGGATTACAAATGTGAGACACCATACACTGCTAAAATAATTTTTGAAAAAGAAGATGTAGGAACTCTCTAGAGGAAGTATGGAAAATTTTAGGATTTACTATACTTTTATGATCTCACTTAATGCAAATTCTTTCAGAATGTAGGATTAAACTTTACTTGTTCCATTTTCAGTAAAACCTATGAAATTACCTTCAAGCATAGTATGTCATTTTTACTGAATAAAAAAATGCAATGAAAAATAACATTGTATTTCAAGATTTTACCAGTCTATCTAGTAGTAATTGAAAAGTTAATGTTTATAACCTTTAAGGTTTATGTAGGAGAAATTTCCAAGAACATCTTATTTGAAATTGTATTTTCAGATATAAAGTTATCCCACCTAGAAATGACCCTGCTTAAAGTATCATGAATACCTTTGAAGTAACTGAAGAGCCTGCTGAGAAGATAGGATTTTTCCAAAGGTACTGTTCATAAATGCCTGTATTTGTACCTAAAATAAAATATTAATATTTAGTGATTTTTTGAAATTGTTTTGTTTAAAGACTAATGACTTTCCTGCAGAATCAAAACAGCCTCAGACACATCTTCCATCTGAGCTTCTGGTGCACTGTCCAGTATGGTGGCATGTGTGGCTACTGAGCACTTGAAATGTCACTAGTTAGAAGTGAGGTGACTGAAAAGTGAGTGCTGAATTTATGTGAAATATCTCATTAATGGTTTGTATACTCTTGACAAAATTGTAACATTTTGAATAGATCAAACTGAATAAAGTATATTATTAAAATTAATTTTACTTGTTTCTTTTTTCTTCACTCATGTGACTACTACAAAAGTTGAATATATGGTTTGCATTTGTTGCTCATTATTGGATATCACTGATCTAGAGGATTTATGAAAGGCATGAGGATTCCTTGCTAAGCATTTTTGTTGGGACACTAAAAATTCTGAAGCATGCTGCTAGAACACAATGACACTATAGACAAGAGGGCCAGCAACCTCCTGACACTGCTGCTCTCAGAAACATCTTTGCCATTGTTAAGGATGACGAAGAAGCAGAAAATGTCCTTCTAAGACTCCCTTCACCCCTAGCAATGAAGTCCAAATCCTTAGTGCACAAAAGGTAGAACCAAATTGCTCTTGGAGGATTCATGTTTTCATATGGATTGTATTACTATGATCTACTGGTACATATCACAGCCATGAATCAGGAAGAACAATTAAAACACAGATATCTCCCAGAGAGATAATCTCTCTGGGGATTGTGTAGCTGAATCCCCAGAAACACACACACACACAGGTCTGTGTGGCCTCTACACTTACTGAAAGCTGAAATTTGTATCTAAGACCACAATAAAATTTTCATAACATACGATCTTCATTAATGAATCATAAAAACAATTTGAAATAACAAGTTTTAAAATTCTTATTATCATAAATATTTAACTCCCAATGTATTTTGGAAGCAAATGCTATCCTACTCCACTAGCCAACATTAAAAGTAATAACTAAAATACATCTTCATATTAAAGAGTCTCATTTTCAAAAACTAAAAGGAAATCTTTGCAAAAATAGAAAGTATTATTGTTAGAGTAGTAGAATTTTAGGAACTTCTAATTGCTCAGATTACATGTTATATTCTTTTTTAAAAAATTAAAAATAAACAAGATAGCTAGGGATGTGATGCCAGCCTCCATGGGATGCTGCCCATTATCTGTGAGCCCATGGGGTTACGGGCCTGACCCACTAGTCTATAGGCTGCAGCTGTGGCCCACCACTGGAGGAGCTGTTCACCCATGGCAGGCTCTGGTGATCTTCCTCCAATGCTATGACAGTGGCAATATTACCCCAGTCTAGTGAGATTAAGCTGGTGATTAGCCTTATTTGAGCATTGACACTAAGCAAGCCAGGGGAGCTGAGAGTCATGTAAATACCACACAGTGCTGTCCAGGTAGCTCATCTTTCAACAGGTGTTGTTTCTGAATGCCAGAGAGAGAGGTCTTCAACTGAAAACTAGAGAGACAGCTATGACAAAGTTATGTGCAAAGCTGGACGACATGCATCTAGAGGAAGGAACAAGTAAAAGATACAATGCTAGAATGATTCAGGTAGGAACAAAAGGAAGGTCAGAGAAGATAAGAACAGAATTTCCACAGAATCAGGTCACAGATCACAGAATAAAGTCCCTGAAGAATCTTAAAACTCTCAGATGAACATATACAGTTACCGAAGGCCTATACCGATATGAATCTTTAGTAGAAATTATTTCCAAAAAGATTAGATGAATTGTTATTAAAGCCTTACATAATACAGGCTAGGCAAATTCTACTGCGGCACGCCATACCATATACACTTACAAGAATTCTCTTGAAAACATGAGTTAACAGTTGGAAGTAACATGCGTACTTTCAAGTTAATAGAGACCTGCCTCAACTACTAGTAAAACATACAAACAATACAAAATTAAAGAAGACAGGGCAAAAATCTGATTTTCTTTCTCACCTTCATGGCAAGAATTTCGGACCCAAAAAGTGAAAGAGTATTATTGCGTCTCCAATAGTGTCTCCGGAGCATTCTGCAGCAAAGGAGAGATGACTCCCTGGGGCTAAGCTTGGGTTAGCAGCAGTTTTCAGGAAGGAGTAACAGGTCATATAAACCCGAAAGATGAGAAATACGTTATAGTCTCTCTGATTATTTTGACTAGCACTCTTCATGCTGCTGGTGTTCTTTAATCTCTGACACCTGGCGTGTGAGGGCCTGTTCAGAGCTGTCCTCTAGCTATGGGAAGAATGTAGGCATAAGGCACAAAGCCAAAGGGAAAGAGATACAGCTTTCCAATCTGCTCTCAAATTTCTCTGTCATCAAGTCCAGGGCACTGGGTCTGGAGTCTGAAGGTTCTTGGTCTCGCCAGAAAAAGAATTCAAGGATGGAGAGCTGGAAGTGTAGCATGAGCAGTAGAGTACCTGCCTAGTGGTACAAGGCCCTGAGGCCACCGGCACCAACAAAAAACAAAAGAACTTACTAAATAGTTCTAAAAAAAAAAAAAGGGATAGACACAAACATAGGAGAAGCAGGTTTATCACTCTAAGACAAAGACAAAGTGTACCCTTAAGATAGGAGAATGGGTGGGCTCAAGAATGAGGGGCAGCTGGGAAGCAGAGTGAAAGTACACACTCTGTCTTCCTACCTGCCTGTCTGCCTGCCTGGGCTCAATCCCCACCACTGCTAAACAAACAAGTGCACAATAAACAGAGACAGTGGCGAATGAGCTTGGCATGGTGGCACACACCTATGGTTCCACCTACTTGAAAGGCTGAAGCAGAAGGATCACTTAACCCTAGGAGTTCAAGGCCAGCCTGGGCAGCATACCAAGACCCCACTCAAAGAAGCAAGCAAAGAAGTGGCAAATATATTTTTATAATGATCTGCACTGTAAAATTATTGAAAATAGCAAAGGAATTATGACAATAAAAACTATCAAGAAAATTATGACACATTTATTCTGTGGTTATCAGTAACCATAAAATTATGTTTACAAGACATTTGTAGTAACAAAAATGTAGTTTGAGGGAAAACAGCAGGATAGCAATTTAACTGTACATATGTAATGACTTCATTTGTGTTAAAATCCCAATCAAGATTAGAAGAAAATTTGCTAGACATGTGGATCAAGTGGTAAAGTACCTGCCTAGCAAGTATGAAGCCCTGGGTTCAAATGTTAGCACTACTAGACAAACAAACAGAAACAATATTATAAGATTAGAATTAAAAAAAAAAACAACCCAGGGCTGGCAGAGTAGCTCAAGTGGTAGAGCACCTGCCTAGCAATCATGAGGCCCTGAGGTCAATCTCCAATGCCATCAAAAAGGAGGAGGAGGAAGGAAAAAGCACTCTCAAAATAGATGGAAGAGCTGGCAAGCTCAAGAGTGAGTATCTTCCCTGAGGTCTTAAAATTTTGAGCTTTTATTGAGGTTTGTACATGTGGGGTTGGTCATTTTGGAAGAGTTTGGGTTTTCCTGGGAACTGAGTTATGTGCCATCAACACCTCCCACACACCAGGCAGGGGAGTTTTTGACACTTTAAGGATGGTCAGACCAGGACTGTCTTTTTCTGCAGGCTGTGGGAACTGTAGACCAATACTCAGCTGTGTGTCACAAGCTGCTCCATTAACCTCAGCCAGCAAGGTGTGTTTGTTGAGGTTTTTTTGTCTTGGTTTGGTTTTTTTTCATTAACACCCAAGCCATTTTTATTGGCCATCAAGTTTCCTAACTCCTGCCGAACTTCTGTCATCTCCACAAACAAGACAAAGAATGAGGGCTACGAATTCTCTCTTAGACCAGAAAAACAGTCTACATAAATTAAAAATGAATTATAGCTATAACAGCCCTGTGGGCTTCTGGTTATTCACTGACACCTTTCATCAGATAAGCTTTTTTTCCATACCTCTAGTCCGTTATTTTTCACTTAAGAAAAAGATGGAAAATATTTTTATGAACTACTTCAAAATTTATTTACACTGCAAATGTTTTTGATTAATTTATAAATAGAAAATTTAAATAAATAGTAGGTATACATTTACTACACATGAATATTTGTAATAAGAGTACAGGACAACACTATTGACAGCTCTTCAGCTTCATTGAGTAAAAGTGTGTATAAGTACTTACCTCTAAAGCACTGATTTTTGTCATAAACTCTAAGAAATCTTTGTCAAATTCTGTCCTTCTTGGATCCAGGATGTCATATTGCTTTTTCTTAACTCCTTGATATATATTTTTGAATTTTATTGCCATAATATCTATTCCTTCAATTGTAGAATTACTTAAGGCTGAATATGTTTGCACAATAGTTATCATTTCTGTAATCTTAAAAAGAGAAATGCCATTTTTTAAAAAGTAGTATCAGGCCAGGCGCTGGTGGCTCACGCCTGTAATCCTAGCTATTCAGGAGGCAGAGATCAGGAGGATCACGGTTTGAAGCCAGCCCAGGCAAAGAACTGATGAGACCCTATCTTGAAAACACACATCACAAAAAAGGGCTGGTAGAGTGGCTCAAGGTGTAGGCCCTGAGTTCAAACCCCAGTACTGCAAAAATACTAACAATAATAGTATCAGGTCCCTTCTCTAGAATAAGCTCTTAATGAACCATTGACTAAAAAAATAAACCAATAGAAAGGCTCTAGAATCATTTAGCTAAAAGCAACCACAAAAGATAATATGGAAGACAAATCTCTGTCACCAGTCATTACTACTCTTAGGTTATTTAGGACAGGTAATGTCTGTCATATCTAGGGAAAGTTTGTAACTCTTCAGAAGTTATTAACTTGGTCTTCAGGTGGTCTTGAGGGTTGGTGGGGAGAGAACTTGACTCAGCATTTTCATCCTTTTGTTCTTGACAATTTTCTGAAAATTAGTTTACTGGATCACTAAGTTCAAGCACTCTACTATCTTTATTGGCCCTCCCTGGAGTTCAGCATAAATCTACCTGTGTTCTCCCCTTGACACCTACAGTAAGAGAAAGGACTGGACCCAGAAAGATGACAGCAGTCACTTCTGTCTCCTGAAGAGCCCTGGGAAACCCTCACCATGAACTTTATTTCAGAAATGGCTACTTCCAATTCAAAGTCCCAATACCTACTTCACTAAGAGAAAAATCTCTCACGTCCACAGAATACTCAGTTCCTTAATCTTCCTCAAGGATCCCTCATTTTGATTCCTGCTTTAAACAACAGAGCTCAAAGCTCTCCAGGAAGTCTTTTGTCCAATGGCCAGAAAAGGAATAAACCTGTTTTCAGGGAGTCCTCCAAATCCCACACACCATGAAGACAATGGTGCTGGTCCTCCTCCACAGTCAGCAGAATTCACAGAAAATCCCTGTGCATTTCTACCCAAAAAAACCATTTTCAGAGAAACTGTTGTTCTCTTCGTTATACTTCAAAAATCATTTTGTTCAAACCTGGAAGAAATGCAAGCCACCTGGAATTTACAGCGTGCCATATATATATATAGGAATACCCATGTTTATACTGGGTTTCCTCCTAACACAAACTCAGGTACTTTATAAAGCAAAAACAAACAGAAGAATTCAAAACTACCAGTCTGCTCTGTTACTCTAGCCTGCTAAGATCCCATCTTTTACCCCTTACTCTACCACCTGGTTTCAATAACCAGGGATGAGGTCAAAAGTCCTGTCATTAACACGTCCTCTATTTTGTCCATGGGTTGGATGAGGCTCCATCCTGAGGATGAGACAGTGGCTGGCCCCACCTTTAGCCCTGCAAAGTTAGGTAACAGTAATCCCCTCTACCACACACAGCAGCAACACAACAGCCAGTTGTTTGATAGGTGAACTATGTCTCAATAAAGCTGTTAGAGAAACAGACAAAAGCAGCACCATGGAGGTCTGCAGGAAGGACCCCACTCAGTAAAATGGCCCCATACTAGTCTATAGGACAGATCCCCCTTGACAACTTGGTTCTTTTCATTGTAAACACTTTCTTATCCTGACTAAAGCAGGAGATTTTTTTTTTACAAAAAAATAGACTTCTGAACATGTCTGAGAAATACCTTTTGACTATTTCATGCCTTCCTGCCCTCTGCTTTCCTGTAAGTGATGAACAGAATCCTAAATACTACCAGGATCCAGGAAGGCTGAAAAAGTGGGAGCCAGGGAACCTGGATATTTTTATAGACTTCCCAAGCTTTCCAAGCTTTTATAGGCTTCTCCAAGGAGCCTCTAGTATGGGCTTCCCTACGTCCCCTGAATAAACCTCTCATTCCTCCTCAGCCAGTCTTAATAAACAAAATAAAAGGTGCAGAAGCTCCAACCCATGTCTGCCTAGCAAAGGCTTCCTCCACAATGCTCAGATGCATGCCATGCCCGCTGGCCCAGAAACAGCAGACTCCTACACCACCGCATAGTCCACAACCACTGGCCAAGAGCAGCATTGACATCTTGAGAGAGGTGACATTTGCCATTGCTCCTGTATGCCCAGCAGACGACAATAACCAGCAATGAAAAAAATAAATTATAATAAACAACACAGTAATCTGTGAACAATTTCATCAGAAGAGTCCGATCAATACTGAGACAAGGTGTCTGGAACGATAATTCTCAATGGCACTACGTAAAGCCTAAAAAAACAAAATGGTGCTATCTGAGGTAAGGTACGGTGACTGCAGGAAGCTTACCTTCTCCAGCCTTTTACAGAAAGCTTCAAATTTTCCAAATATATACATTTCCGAAACCTCAAAAGACTTTTCCCCTGAGGATTCTAAAATCTGTTTCCTTGTTTTGTGAAAAGATGCCTGATATTCCTTGAACAGAAAAATGCAATCCTGTGAGAGAATTAGCGGGAGAAAGAAGGATAATGAAACATTTCCTCAGGAGTTAAATATTCACAAATCCTGTCCTCTCACAGAGCTTATCATGCCAGCCCCTCAAGCCCGGGCTGCTGCTGTTCCCAAAACTCAACTTCTCTGCCTACATCAGAAGGCCTGTGAAATCAACATAGCTCTTTAAATGTCCATTCGATTTGCTTCTCTTCATCCTTACTATTTTCCCTTAACTCTTTTCCTACATCAAAGTGTAACATTTATTGTTGTTTCTGTATTTTCATAGCTAATTACAAATCCCAAGAGGCCCTGAAATTATCTATCAAGGCATCTGTATTTAGCTGGCCTCCATCTTTGCATAGGTACTCTTTATATACAGGTAAATAAAACATAAAGCCTTTGCAATAATAATTTATCTCCCAATTATCATTGTTCCACAAGGAGATCATAAGTGAGATGATACAGCATTTGTCTTTCTACTTGGTGTAACATTCTCCAGGTTGTTCTTATTGTCACAAAAGATAAGATTTCCTTCTTTATTAAGGCTGAATAGTATTCTGGTATGTGTATAAATACACACAATTATTAATCACTTAACAACAAAAATACATTTTGAAAAGTGTATCATTCCTACTCCATCAAGTTGCTTGTCATCAATAATGATCAGTTTTGTTTTGTTTTTTCTCTAGCAGTACTGGAGTTTGAACTCAGGGCCTCAACACTTGCTAGGCAGGCATTCTACCACTAGAGCCACTCCACTGGCCCCCTAGTTTTATTTTTAAATGCACATACAACAAAGGGATTTTTTTTTTTTGCAGGACTGGGGTTTGAACTCAGGGCTTCATGCTTGCAAAGTAGGCACTCTACCCCTTGAGCCACACCTCTGATTCATTTTGCTCTGGTTATTTTGCAGATGGGGTCTCAAGAACTATTTGCCTGGGCTGATCTGGAATGGCAATCCTCCCGATCTCAGCCTCCCAAATAGCTGGGATTAAAGGTGGGAGCCCCTAGTGCCTGGCAGCAACGAGGCTTTTCAATAAGTCTTCTCTTGGCTCCACACTTGCTCTGAGCACTTTGTTCCCTTTCCCACCTCAACAAGCTCCTTCTTTCATTTCTTGAAGCAATTTTTTGTCTTGCCAGGCACAGCTCCTATTATTTTTTCCCCCCAACTTCTAGGTATAGTCACCAGATACATTTTCAAAGCTCGTTCCAAAAGCTTCAGTTCTGTTGTCAAAAAGTAAAATCTGTTTGCGGGCTTCCAAATTGTTCTGAAGGTGTTTAACTGTCAACTGGAGGCACTGCTGTGTTTTCTTAATTTATTCAAAGTCTTTTTGCCAGCTTTCTGATGAGGCTGGCTTTCTGAAGACTCTCTTTTTTGTTGGCCAGTCCTCTTGACTCCTGAAGATAGTATGTTTAGATCCTTGCTGGTAACTTACCATCCTGAATTTGGATCCACAGAAAGATGACTAGGGCGTGAGTGAGCTCAGAGCAATCCTCTTTTGATCACTTTTTCACTCTTTTCCACCTCTGACAACTGATTTCTCCTCATTCTTCCATGCTTTTCACAGGCCAGCCTCAGCTTCCTTTTCTCTTTGCTAATTGCTCATTGACTTCTTTTTGCAGAGGAGGCAAGAGTTTCATGCATACCCCACACACCTGCTCGCTCGAGCCTCTCTCAAAGTTTTCTTCTTCTCTCATCATTTGACATGCTCCTCTCCTTGCCGGAAAGTGATGCAGAAGTGACATTCTGTTATATTCACACTACTCTGTACAGGATTGTCTCAGAATAAACATGTTTTGTGTTAGGAACAAAATAAAACACTGGGCCAGGTGGTGAAAGCTTTACTTTCTGAAAATGAAATACTTTCACAAACCTGAATTTTCTTTAGCACGACTGGTGTCTCCTGATCCCACACATGTATTAGTCCTCCTTCTGTAATGTACGCTTTACACGCCGTTACCATCTGATTTGTTACCTAAAATAAATGTAGGTACCAACTTACGATAAGTAGATAATACATAAAATCCAAGTGTTTTAAAAGCATAAAACATATAAGTTGTAAACTTATGGAGTGAATAAATCACAAAATACAAAAAAAAATCAAAGAAATACAGATTTCAGTCAAAATGAAGAAAATCCAAAGTCACAGTAACCTACTGCACTTAAGCAAAGGCCACTGGGGCCATAAATTTCAAAAGCCCACTCCCTTTGCATTTGTCTATTCCTGCTCTAATTAGGTCTTGATCCCATTTGTGATCAATTACCTTCAACATGCAGGCACTCCTTGCCTGCCCCAAAATACAGAAGGAAAAAAGAAAAGGCTAGCCATTTAACTACTCCACCAGCCTAAAATTTTAAAATGTAGAATACAGACAAGCATGTTGGTGCATGCCTATAATCCCAGCACAGGGGAAGCTGAGACAGGCACATTGCAAGTTCCAGGCTGGCCTGGGCTACACAGCAAGATCCTGTCTCAACAGACCAAGGGTTGGGGATGTAGCTCAGTGATAAACAGGATCTACAAGTGGTAAGGGAAATGTCTAGAGAAAACCAAAATGCAGATCAGAAAAAAAAGGTCACTGTGAAGATGAAAGGATTCTGGAAAATTTTTAAGATTGGTGACAATGTGAGGTTACCCTCAGAATTTGGAGCAACTTATATAGCGGGCAACCACTAGAGGCATCTGAGGAAAGGGCAAAGCCATGAGTCTGGTCCACAGTCTTGGGCAGGGGTGGCCATGCCCCAGGTAGATGCTGTAGCCCAGGTGGGCACATCAGAGAAAAACATATCCACATTCCCCTCCCAGCAGTAAGTCAGACACACCCCACTACACAAAAGGCAAGCTACAGAAAACAGAACAGGAAGTCAAATGAGGAGTCTCAAATACAAAGACTGGCAGACAACCAAGAATCACTAAGCAACTGAGGAAACACACATGGCAACAGAGGCATTAAAGTCAGCAAAGAGAAAAAACAAAAGACATGGAAAAATTTTAAACTATCTTCTATTAACTAAATTAACTTGCCAACTAAATTTGAGAGGGTGTCATACACAACAGACAGAAAACAATAGAGAATATGAAAATTGAATTGTTATTGTCAAGAAATTTTTAAACTGTTGATGAACTGATCACCAAGTGTCACATAGATGAAGAACAAATAGATGAACTAAGAATTCAAAGGAGGGCTGGCAGAGTGGCTCAAGCAGTAAGAGCACCTTCCCAGCATGCCTGACACCCTGAGTTCAAACTCCAGTGCTGCCAAAAAATAAAAACAACCCAAAGGACAATGATAGGAGAACAGAAAGTTGCTAAGAGCAAAGGATTTCAGAGTGAATGGGAGAGAATAAATTGAAAGGAGAGTCAGGAATAATTCAAAGCAAAAGAGAAAACTGTCCCAGGAATGAAAAGAGACAAATTCTTCAGATTGAAACAACCCAGCAAGGCTAGAACAAGATGAATGGGAAAAGAATCACACCAGTGTCAAATTCTAGAAGCCAGGGAAAAGAAAAACTTCTAAAAGCTTTCAGAGAATAAAACTGGTTACCTACAAGTGCAAAAGGAACTCGACCAGCACCTAACTCCTCCTCACCAAGGCTGGACACTGCACGGTGGAACATTATCTGCTAAGTTTCAGTGAGAATAATGCCAGACATAGTTTGTCAGTCATACTTGCATTGAGTGCCCAGTCAAAGTAAAGCTACTGTAAATCACAGAGTAATTCAGAAAGTTTACTGCTTACACAGCCTTTCTGAAAGAAGTACTTGAGGATTTTCTTTTCAGCAAAAGAAATAATGAATCCAAGAAGGAGGAAGATGTGAAAAAAATCACAAAACAGTAGTGCTGAAAATACTCAAATACTTTTATTTTAGTCTGAATACTTCTGATTCATCATGTTGAAAACTGTATGAAACCAAGAATGAGTTCAGCAGGGCACAATGGTACATGCCTTTAATCCTAGCACTTAGGAGGCTGAGGCAGAAGGATTGAGAGTTCCAAGCCAGCCTGGGCTACAGAGACAGAGTCCGTCTCAAGAAATAAAAAGAAAAGGAAAGAAACTCACCTTGATAAACAAGGAGGTCATTCTCTCAGAGGTGTTGTAATACCTCGACACACCGTGAATCATTCTGATAGCATTAATCAGGTTTTGTATCCCATGTGCCATGGAAACCTAAAATGAAAATATATCAAGTGAAGTCCGTCATGTGTGTACAGTTTTAATAACCACATTCCATAATAATCAGAACTCTAAATATATACAAAATAGCATAACATTTTCATCTTTTGTTTAATGCAGGGGAGTTTTGAACCCAGGGCCTTGAGCTCGCTAGGCAGCACTCTCACTTGAGCTATGCCCCTCCCAGCCCTCAACATTTTCATCTTTAAGTCAAAGTTTACCAAATGCATATGATATTCTAGAGTGGGCCCAGGAACAGAAAAAAAAAAAGACATTAGTTTTGACAAATGTACAAAGCCAACACAAGATTTTAACATGAAAAACTAGGTGAAGCGAAGTCTGTCCTGCCAGGTGCCAGTGCCTCACACCTGTAATCCTAGCTACTCAGGAGATGGAGATCAGGAGGATTGTGGTTCGAAATCAACCCAGGCAAATAGTTCGAGAGACCCCCATCAGGAAAAAACCCTTCATAAAAAAGGGCGGTGGAGTGTCTCAAGGTTTAGGGCCTGAGTTCAAACCCCAGTACAGAAGGGAAAAAAAAGAAAGAAAAGAAAGAACTTTGTTCTATCATTTGCCATCTTTGTGTAAATCTGAACATAAGAATTTGTTTTTAAAATAAAATTTGGAGTCAGGAATATAGCTTAGCATTAGGATGCCTGCATAGCATACACAAGGCCCTGGCTTCAATCCCCAGCTCCACAATAAGTAAGAAAGTTGATAAATTCAAACTTTTAGGCTTGGGGGGTGTATAGTTCAGTAGTGGAGAGCCTACTTAGTATGCACAAACCCTGGGTTTGATCCCCAGCAATACAAAAGAATGAAAACAAAATTATAGAGGTGAAACCAACCTTAAAGATTAATAGTTTACGGTGGGAGCATAGCTCAAATTGTAGACTGCCTGCCAAACAAGTGTAAGACCCTCAGTTCAAATCACAGTACTAACAAAAATACAAATAAATTATAGTTTAATCTGCTCTTTTTCGACGAAGAAATTGACAACTTGAGGGGTAAAGTGACTAATTTATAGTTTAAAAGGTAGCCAAAAATAGAAATAAGACTAAGATTAGAAATAAGAATTCCTTTTCACTTATTCAATTCACCTTGTAGCAAACCTACTACTGAGTGCCAGAAGGTTCTGAAAATACTGGGAAAAATCTAAAGATAAGGAACCTGTTGATGAGGTGCTCACAGTGGAGTAAGAGAGGATCAGGAAAAGAGGCAAAACAAGAAGGACAGCACAGAGTAGAGAACATAAAACCAAGACATAACACCATGGCTGCTAGGTGCTGAGTGCTCACCATATGCCAGGCCCCAGGCAGGACCCTAAGCTGTAGCTCAATTTATGCTGACAACAATCATTTAAGGTAGCTGTGATTTCATCAAATCTAAAGCATCACTGATTGCATGTCTTCTTTTGAGAACTGTCTTTTCAGATCATTTGCCCATCTTAAAAGTGGATTCTTTGTCTATGTTTTTGTTTGCTGTTGGTATATTCTAGGTATTAATGTCTCGTTGGATGAAGAATTTGCAAGTACTTTTGCCCATTCTGCAGCATGTTTCTTCATTCTGTTGATTATTTCATTTATCTGTGTTTGGTTTTGTTGTCTGTGCTTTGAAGTTTTAACCAAAAACAAAACAAAAAAAACTTTGCCAATACCATTGTCCTAAAGCATCTCCCCTAAATTTTCTTCTAGTAAGCTTCACATTTTTGTGGACAGCACATGTCCTTATGTGCTACTAAGAAAGAAGTAAAAACACTCAAGATGGGGAGTCTCATAAAACCAGGCCAGCAACAGGCTACACCCTCCCTGTTAAGACAAACACAAAACAAAAACATCCATGGGGAAAAAGACAGAACAAAACTTCCGTTTCCCAACCCTGCTACTGGGGTAGGAGGGAAAACAAAGTCCCTTGAGAATGTGCACCAAAGCTTAATACTCAATTGCAGTTTTAATTCACACGAATGGCACCAACTCCCCAAAAAGGAACAAAAACCTGCCCTCTGGAGAGAACTGATGGTTGAAGATAGTGTCAAGTCACAACCACAAACGATTCAGAAAACCTGGGCTGACTGTGGAGTGTGTTCTGAGTTCAGAGATATTAAAATGTGGAAAACATGTCTTGGATTGCAGCAAAAGTGTTATTATTTCACTTTGCAAATGGGAAGAAAGAAGAGTAGAAAGTAAAACACCTTGCCCAAGGGCTCAAAGCCCTAAGTTATGAGACTCTGCTTGTAACCAAGACGCAAATCACCACAGGAGAACAGCAAAGGTCCTGGCATTCCCACCTTCAAGGAGCTTCCCTTTTACTTATAGGAAAAAATAAAATATACAGAAAGATTTTTTAATGATGAGAAAATAATTAAAACCAGGAAAAGCCAGACACCCGTGACTCACACCTATAATCCTAGCTACTCAGGAGGCAGAGATCAGGAAGATCACAGTTCGAAGCCAGCCTGAGCAAATAGTTCATGAGACCCTATCTCAAAAAAACAAAAGGGCTGGTGGAGTGACTCAAGGGCTGGTGAGTTCAAACCCCAGCACCCCCTCAAAAAAAAGCAAGAACAGCCACCGATTACAATATGCTACAGTATGATATGTCCTGAATGTGAGCTATACCTACCAAATAGTTAAAGCAATGTTGTGAGATTGTTGCTTTATAGTTAACCTTGTATGTCACAATCCATATGATACGTGTTTACTGGCCAAAAAGATCCTGGTGAAATTGTACCAAGAAGGAGTCCCTCCTACCCTCGCTAAGTCAACCTACAAAGTACCCATGATGTCAAGGAAGAAGTCTCAGAGACGGTATCGAATGGATCCCTCAGGAAAATGCCTTTCATCTAAACTTTAATTGTCACTAGTTATAATAGCTCCTTGACCTCACAGGTTTTCCCTATTCATGGAGTCCACACATTTCATACGTGAAATGTACAGTAGCAGATGCACCTAAAGCACCATACCACGATGGTAAAAATGAAGCCTATGTAAAATTTACAAACCAGAAATGGAAGCATGAATTCTTTGCATTTTTCCACCCAAAAGACAGTTCAAAGATGATAGTAACTGAAGGTTGCTTTCCATGATAAGAAAGAAAATGAGAAGAAAAGAGTTTCTGAAACTACAGAGACTGTGGGTGCCTGAGTGAGAAGCAATTACGTGGTTCACTACTGTTAGTACTTCATTCATTTCAAAAGATAATGCTTGAAACCTTCCTACATCACAGACTGTAAAAACTCAACAACACAATAAGAAGAAGGTAATTTCATGGCTAGAGCAGTTGAACAATTACTAGGATCAAAAAAAAACAACAACACCAGAACTAAATGATTTTTAAATTATATGAATTTAAGCAAGTCTTTTGAAGAAAGAAGTTGAAATCAGTATACCTTAATATTCAGAGCTCTCATCAACAATAAAAAGCATTGTATCTCTCTTCCGAGTTTCGTCTTATAATGAAAAACCTTAAATATACAGGAAAGTACAGGGAATCTTATAATGATCACCTGTACCCATCACTGGACTTGACAAATGTTAACATTTTACTATATTCACTACATCTTTTTTTTGACGTTAAGAGCTACTTGCAGGGGATGTGGCTGAAGTGGTACAGTCCCTGCCTCCCAAGCTCAAGGCCCTGAGCTCAAACCACAGTATTGCCAAAATAAAAAATGTGAAACAAACAAACAAAAAGAGCTACTTGCAGGTACTCTCAGAGTAGACTTTGGATATGTGTGCATCGTCAACCCTTGTGAGTAACCTCAAATACTTGCAACATCTGATAACTCTAATTTTTCTCTGACATAAATTTTAACTGCTCATGTAGTAAAGTTGGAGAACCGTTACTGAACCACTGAGTGAACCCTATTCCTCTAACAACTGTACAGTTGGGCACTCTTTACTCATGGCCACATACATAGAAACATCAGAAAAATGATATCAAGTGTTCTTATGTGAAACAAATTGTAAAAATGTTCCCAGCAGAACTCCAGTTGCTCGTACTAGAAGCAGAAGTGAGCAGAGTTTAAGTCATAAGTCTTTGCAGACAGCAACACAAAGTAAGTTGGGTTTTTTAAAAGTCCACCATCTCTTTATGAAATAAGCTGAAAGACTACTTCTGACCAGTCTTTCTACCCTCTCTCATTGTGCTCCCTCCATGGTTGGTAGGTTCCTACATGCCAGCAAGAACTGCACCTACCCAGAACACTCAACTCTTATTCTTCCCCTCCTCCCATACCAAACTCCTTGGCAACCAACGCTCTCTTGAGATGACTATGAATCACTCCTACACCTGCCTCTTCTCTAGATCTAAGTGACATAGATCATAGACTCTTCCCGTCTCTGCCTCTAATATGAAGACAACATTACCTAAGAAAGTTGGTCAACTAAATCATGTGGCCAGTGCTGCCACCCATGTGGAAGATTCGACCATCTCTTCGAAATCAAAACGTAGAGTGCTGAACGCAGATGGACACTAATGTAAATTTTGAGAGCACTTTATGCCAGAGAGAATGAGATTCAGATTTGATCCTTGCCATTTATAGCTGTAGAAGTGCTCATGCTTGGTTTACAAATCTTTTAAATGAGAGTTGTTGTATGTGAAAACATGAAGTACAATTTCTAGGATCAAAAGGTTGGGGGTTCTCAAGCCTGTAAGCATCTTTGAAAAGGCAGGCTTCCTGCTTAAAAGTGACACAAAAGAGGCAACACCTAGTACATGCCTATAATCCCAGCTACTTGGGAGGCAAAGGCAATAGGCACTTTGGGAAAAAGCAAATGCTCTATCACTGAGCTACACTTCCAGCCCAAAGGAACTCTTTTTTTTTTTTTCTTTTATTTTTTTTTCTTTTATTATTCATAGGTGCATACAAGGCTTGGTTCATTTCTCCCCCCCTGCCCCCACCCCCTCCCTTACCACAAACTCCGCCCCCTTCCTCTCCCCCCCCCAATACCCAGCAGAAACTATTTTGCCCTTATTTCTAATTTTGTTGTAGAGAGAGTATAAGCAATAATAGGAAGGAACAAGGGTTTTTGCTGGTTGAGATAAGGATAGCTATACAGGGCATTGACTCACATTGATTTCCTGTGCATGGGTGTTACCTTCTAGGTTAATTCTTTTTGATCTAACCTTTTCTCTAGTACCTGTTCCCCTTTTCCTATTGGCCTCAGTTGCTTTAAGGTATCTGCTTTAGTTTCTCTGCGTTAAGGGCAACAAATGCTAGATAGTTTTTTAGGTGTCTTACCTATCCTCACCCCTCCCTTGTGTGCTCTCGCTTTTATCATGTGCTCAAGTCCAATCCCCTTGTTGTGTTTGCCCTTGATCTAATGTCCACATATGAGGGAGAACATACGATTTTTGGTCTTTTGGGCCAGGCTAACCTCACTCAGAATGATGTTCTCCAATTCCATCCATTTACCAGCGAATGATAACATTTCGTTCTTCTTCATGGCTGCATAAAATTCCATTGTGTATAGATACCACATTTTCTTAATCCATTCGTCAGTGTGGGGCATCTTGGCTGTTTCCATAACTTGGCTATTGTGAATAGTGCCGCAATAAACATGGTGTGCAGGTGCCTCTGGAGTAACAGTCTTTTGGGTATATCCCCAAGAGTGGTATTGCTGGATCAAATGGTAGATCGATGTCAGCTTTTTAAGTAGCCTCCAAATTTTTTTCCAGAGTGGTTGTACTAGTCTACATTCCCACCAACAGTGTAAGAGGGTTCCTTTTTCCCCGCATCCTCGCCAACACCTGTTGTTGGTGGTGTTGCTGATGATGGCTATTCTAACAGGGGTGAGGTGGAATCTTAGTGTGGTTTTAATTTGCATTTCCTTTATTGCTAGAGATGGTGAGCATTTTTTCATGTGTTTTCTGGCCATTTGAATTTCTTCTTTTGAGAAAGTTCTGTTTAGTTCACTTGCCCATTTCTTTATTGGTTCATTAGTTTTGGGAGAATTTAGTTTTTTAAGTTCCCTGTATATTCTGGTTATCAGTCCTTTGTCTGATGTATAGTTGGCAAATATTTTCTCCCACTCTGTGGGTGTTCTCTTCAGTTTAGAGACCATTTCTTTTGATGAACAGAAGCTTTTTAGTTTTATGAGGTCCCATTTATCTATGCTATCTCTTAGTTGCTGTGCTGCTGGGGTTTCATTGAGAAAGTTCTTACCTATACCTACTAACTCCAGAGTATTTCCTACTCTTTCTGTATCAACTTAAGAGTTTGGGGTCTGATATTAAGATCCTTGATCCATTTTGAGTTAATCTTGGTATAGGGTGATATACATGGATCTAGTTTCAGTTTTTTGCAGACTGCTAACCAGTTTTCCCAGCAGTTTTTGTTGAAGAGGCTGCTATTTCTCCATCGTATATTTTTAGCTCCTTTGTCAAAGATAAGTTGTTATAGTTGTGTGGCTTCATATCTGGGTCCTCTATTCTGTTCCACTGGTCTTCATGTCTGTTTTTGTGCCAGTACCATGCTGTTTTTATTGTTATTGCTTTGTAATATAGTTTGAAGTCAGGTATTGTGATACCTCCTGCATTGTTCTTTTGACTGAGTATTGCCTTGGCTATTCGTGGCCTCTTGTGTTTCCATATAAATTTACAGTAGATTTTTCAATCTCTTTAATGAATGTCATTGGAATTTTGATGGGAATTGCATTAAACATGTAGATTACTTTGGGAGTATCGACATTTTTACTATGTTGATTCTACCAATCCATGAGCATGGGAGATCTCTCCACTTTCTATAGTCTTCCTCAATCTCTTTCTTCAGAAGTGTATAGTTTTCCTTGTAGAGGTCTTTCACATCTTTTGTTAGGTTTACACCTAGGTATTTGATTTTTTTTGAGGCTATTGTAAATGGAATTGTTTTCATACATTCTTTTTCCGTTTGCTCATTGTTAGTGTATAGAAATGCTAATGATTTTTCTATGTTGATTTTATATCCTGCTACCTTGCTATAGCTATTGATGATGTCTAGAAGCTTCTGAGTAGAGTTTTTTGGGTCTTTAAGGTATAGGATCATGTCATCTGCAAATAGGGATATTTTGACAGTTTCTTTACCTATTTGTATTCCTTTTATTCCTTCTTCTTGCCTAATTGCTCTGGCTAGGAATTCCAGTACTATGTTGAATAGGAGTGGAGATAGTGGGCATCCTTGTCTGGTTCCTGATTTTAGAGGGAATGGTTTAGTTTTTCTCCGTTAAGTATAATGCTGGCTGTAGGTTTGTCATATATAGCTTTTATAATGTTGAGGAACTTTCCTTCTATTCCTAGTTTTCTTAGAGCTTTTATCATGAAATGATGTTGGATCTTATCAAAGGCTTTTTCTGCATCTATTGAGATGATCAAGTGGTTTTTGTCTTTGCTTCTGTTAATGTGGTTTATTACGTTTATTGATTTTCGTATGTTGAACCACCCCTGCATCCCTGGGATGAAGCCTACTTGGTCGTGGTGAATAATCTTTTTGATGTGTTGCTGAATTCGGTTTGCCATTATTTTGTTGAGGATTTTTGCATCAATGTTCATTAAGGAGATTGGCCTATAGTTCTCCTTTTTGGAGGTGTCTTTGCCTGGTTTTGGGATAAGTGTAATACTGGCTTCATAAAATGTGTTTGGCAGTTTTCCTTCCCTTTCTATTTTGGAACAGTTTAAGGAGGGTTGGTATCAGTTCTTCTTTAAAGGTCTGATAGAATTCAGCAGAGAATCCATCAGGTCCTGGACTTTTCTTTTTGGGAGACTCTTGATTGCTGCTTCAATTTCATTTTGTGTTATAGGTCTATTCAGGTGATTAATTTCCTCTTGGTTCAGTTTTGGATGATCATATGTATCTAGAAATCTGTCCATTTCTTTAAGATTTTCAAATTTATTTGAATATAGGTTCTCAAAGTAGTCTCTGATGATTTCCTGGACTTCCATGGTGTTTGTTGTTATCCCCTTTTGCATTCCTGATTCTACTAATTTGGGTTTTTTCTCTCCTCATTTTAGTCAGGTTTGCCAGGGGTCTATCGATCTTGTTTATTTTTTCAAAGAACCAACTTTTTGTTTCATTAATTCTTTGTATGGTTTTTTTGGTTTCTATTTCGTTGATTTCAGCTCTTATTTTTATTATTTCTCCCTTCTATTTGTTTTGGGATTTGCTTGTTCTTGTTTTTTCTAGGAGTTTGAGATGTATCATTAGGTCATTGATTTGGGATCTTTCAGTCTTTTTAATATATGCACTCATGGCTATAAACTTTCCTCTCAAGACTGCCTTAGCTGTGTCCCATAGGTTCCGGTAGGTTGTGTTTTCATTTTCATTGACTTCAGGAACTTTTTAATTTCCTCTTTTATTCATCGATGATCCATTTTCATTAAGTAATGAGTTATTTAGTTTCCAGCTGTTTGCATGTTTTTTGTCTTTACTTTTGTTGTTGAGTTCTACTTTTACTGCATTGTGTCAGATAGTATGCACGGTATATTTCTATTTTCTTATATTTGCTGAGGCTTGCTTTGTGCCCTAGGATATGATCTATTTTGGAGAAGGTTCCATGGGCTGCTGAGAAGAATGTATATTGTGTAGAGGTTGGATGAAATGTTCTGTAGACATCTACTAGGTCCATTTGATCTATTGCATATTTTAGATCTTGGATTTCTTTATTGAGTTTTTGTTTGGATGACCTATCTATTGATGATAATGGGGTTAAAGTCTCCCACAACCACTGTGTTGGGTTTATATATGCTTTTAGGTCTTTCAGGGTATGTTTGATGAAATTGGGTGCTTGACATTGGGGCGTCAGATTGATGATTATTATTTCCTTTTGGTCTATTTCCCCTTTTATTAGTATGGAATGTCCTTCTTTATCTCGTTTGATCAATGTAGGTTTGAAGTCTACTTTCCAAAGGAACTCTTTAGAAACATTATAGGAAAAGTAGAGCAGAAACTACAAGATGAGTTCTGTCCTGTATCCCTGATTGGCTGCTGGCAACGTCAGTACTGCATATGAGTTTTGGTTTCCTACACTGTAACCTGGGAAATGTCTACCATGGTAGGCAGCCTCCAAGATGGCCCCCTGTGATGCTCACCCTCACGGTGTTCATACCCTTAAATAATCCCCTCCCCTGAGTGTGGACTAGACTTACTGGCCAACAGAATACAACAGAACTGATGAGCTGTCACTTCTGAGATTAGATTACAAACAGACAGTGGCTTCTGACTTGGCCGCTGTCTGTTGCTCACTCGTGGGTCACTCCCCTTGGGAGAAGTGAGTCTCTGTGTGGAGAGTTCCTTGTGGCTAGGAACTGAGGCCTACCAATGACCACATAAGTGAGCTTAAAAGTGGACGCTGCCCAGTCAGCTTCTCTTACACACAGCCCCAGTTAACAGCTTGTCTGTCATGAGAGGCTTGAGGCAGAGGCTCTGAGCTATGCAGTGCCTGGATTCCTGATGCACAGAGAAACTGTGACATAATAAACAGTCGTTGTTTTAAGTAACTCTGTTCTGGGGTAATTTGTTACACACCAACGAATAAGTAACATATTCATCTTATTTAAATCACAAATGAAGTCATACTTAAAATAATGCTAAATACTTAAACATGGGTTAAAATATTAAGTATACTTCATAATTTACTATAAATATACAATCGGAAAATATATCTTTCAAACAACTTTTTGGCAGTGATTGCTTTCCCATGCAATATAGACACATATATATGCATATGTGTTATTTTAAAGTCCATTAATTATACAAGTTAATTTTTTAAATTGTACTTTTAACAGCATACTTACTAGATCATAGTTATAGAGAGGCTGACATACTTTTTCCAGAGTGTACAAATATCTAACATTATCTTTTGATTCATTCGCTGTATCAGTGATTCTGGCATCCAAATCACGCCAATTCTAAGAGGAAAAAATTGTGTAAAAATTCCATTAAAAATCTAGTAGATCAGTGAGCTACAGTTTAATCCAAGAAATTCAAGCTGTCTTCTTCCCCAATCAAACATATACTGAAATAGTAGCTATTTAAGTGTGACTAATACATCTTTTTCGTATAGTATTTAACACAATATTATTATCAACATGTTAAATGATTTACTAAAACTGAAGAGTCTTTCCTTTTGCAATTAATGCTCTGTCTGCAAACTTGAACTGGACCTGCTTCTACCTAGAATGACTTGTCTTGCAAGTGATCACCAAACAATCTCTGTTGAGCTAACTCTAATTGTGAAAAAGTTCTTCCTCATTTTGAGAAGAAATCTGCTATGGTTTCAACATGGTTTTTTTTACCCCCAAACCCATGTTGCGGTTTTATCTCCCAATACCATGGTACTGAGGCAGTGGGCTTTAAGACGGGTGATTCGGCTTTGAGATGGGTAAGTGTTGACTGGAGGAAGTTCTAGCTCTCGTGGGACTAGATTTGTACTCACAAGATCAGGTTGTTAAAAGTGAGCCTGCCACCTCCCCTGATCCCCTCTTCCACACACACACATGCTCCTGCCATGATGCCACTGCTGTAATATGACACAGCCAGAAGGCTGAACAGATGGGGCCACCTGATCTTGGATTTTAGCCTCCAAAACAATTAGTTAAATAAACGTTGCTTCTTTATAAATCACCCAGCATCAGTTATTCTGTTACGGCAATACAAAACAGACAAAAATCTGTCTTCTTGTACTCTCTACTCATTTGGTGTAGTTTTGCCCTCAGAGAACATACAGAATCCTTTCAAATGTTTGAAGTCATTTACCATATCATGCACCAAGCCCTTACACCAAAATGAACACTCTGTGTCTGTAAGTCACTCAATAAGACATGATCTTGACAGCTTCAACATGGTATCCCTTCCACTCTGGACACACATCCATTTTTGCCAACATCACCCTAATGAGTGCACCAGAAATGAGCCAGGCTTGCAGTGGGACCTGACAGTACTGGGAAGGAGCCAAGCATTACTTTCCCTTTTCAGGGTCCTCTGCCTTTCAGTAAGCTGCCCAAAATCAAGCTGACCTTTGGCCAGGAATATCATTGAAGCAACTGATTCAACTAAACAGTTAAGTGTTTATTCAAACTTTGCTCGACTTATTCTTTTTTTTTTTTTTGTGGCACTGGGGCTTGAATTCAGGGCCTCATGTTTGCTCTACCACTTGAGCCACACATCCAGGCCCACACTAAGGATGATGAAAATGAAGTGCCTGCCTGAGAATTGGTCAGAGATGATGAGAACATGGAATGGTAAAGTCTGAATGGAAAAAACATACAGAACAGGCTTTAGCTAAAACCCTTTTTAAAATCACGGGACCCAAGAGTAGGCTTACAGGCTCATCATCCGAGGGCTTGGGACTCCTGTCCTCACCACTGAAGACCTATGTGCATGCTGGCATTGCCACCCTGTGAAGTTTCTTCCCTCCCATGGCTTTCTACCACGTCATCTGTATCCTTACTAACACCACTGACTAACATTTTTAATATAAACAGGTAAGACCACCATAGCAAGTCACTAAACTCCTCTCTCTAAGAATGTGAATCAGAAATGCCTTCGGCCTATAAACTCACAAATTCTCTCCCGGGCCCACTTTAGCGAAATTCTTGCACATATGCACCAGGGGACGTGAACAGAAATATTTGTTGAATCATTGTTTTCAATAACCCCAAATCGGAAGCCATCTACATGCCCATTTGGGGAATGAATAAGTAAACTGTGGTGTATATATGCACAAGAATATAGCAATAAAAAATGAATAGGTAAGACACCCAAAAAACTAGATCGTATTTGTTGCCTTCAACACAGAGAAACTAAAGCAGATACTTTAAAGCAACCGAGGCCAATAGGAGAAGGGGGACCAGGAACTAGAGAAAAGGTTAGTTCGAGAAGAATTAATTTAGAAGGTAACACACATGTACAGGAAAGCAATGCGAATCAACTCCCTGTATAGCTATCCTTATCTCAACTAGCAAAAACCCTTGGTCCTTCCTATTATTGCTTATACTCTCTCTTCAACAGAAGTAGAGATAAGGGCAAAATAGTTTCTGCCGGGTATTGAGGGGGTGGGGGGGGAGAGGGAGAGATGGGTGGGGAGTAAGGAAGGTGCAGGGGGAAGGGGGGAGAAATGACCCAAGCATTGTATACACATATGAATATAGAAAAAAAAATAAAAGACAGATCCCATCCAAAGACTTGGTTGGGTAGCCTAAAAAATAATAATAAAAATAAAAATAAGAAAATGATGGCCAGACATGGTGGTGCAACACCTATAATCTTAGCACTTGGGAGGCTGAGGCAGGAGGATTGCAAGTTTTGAGGCTAGCCTGAACTACATAGTAAGACCCTATCACAAAAAATAAAAGAAAGAAAAGAAAATGAATGATGAGTCACTTTAAAAAGGTTAACTGTCACCATGTTAGGTCTATGTGGTATGATGTGATTTATGAACATTTCAAAAATATATCTAAGTATCAGAGTTTGGTACTTAGGGGAAAAACTACACAAAGTTATTTGATTTATATCAAAGGATGAAAAATATATCAATTGTTAAGACACCTTTGCAAAAGAAGAACAAAAAGTAAGTGTTGCAAAAATGAAGATGTATAGAAGAAAATGACAAGCAGTACTATGAAAACTACTGAACCATGGGGGCGGGGAGACATTAGGGGAAGTTTGAAAGCTGGAATGTTAAGAGTGTGCACTGGGGGCATGGCTCAAGTAGTAGAGCACCTGTCTAGTAAGTGGGAGGGCCTGAGTTCAAATCCCAGTACTGCAAATTTAAAAAAAAGTAAGAGTGTGATCTGATATCCTGGTTCCTCTCTTACTACTCTGTGACCTTCAGCAAGAAACTTAAGCTCCTGGTACCCCATCTACTAAAGGGGGTTGGTAATAACCATACCTTCTTCACAGCTGATGTGAGGATCAAAAGAGATATTTAACATGGCGTTTGGTACACAGCTTCTATTCTTATTAAATCCTAAATGATTCACAAAAATAAATTAAATTTTACCTAAAAAAAGTAAATGAAGAAAAACTACTAAAAGTAGGAGAAGAGAATGAAAGATCATCCTGTTTTAAGTTCAGTTAACCTTAATTTATCCTTCTTCAAAAGGCCTTTTAAATAATACGTGAAAGATGAAAGTTTTAATAAAAGGAAGACTAATAAGATTTAATTCATTTAAAATATAACAATGTAATTATAAGTGATTCCTTTTTGTTGTTGTTGTTGTTTGGCAGTGCTAAGAATGATTCTTTGTATTTTTAAATTAAAATGCAAAGCCACAAGTAAGTACATTTAGCACCCAGATCCTAGCTTCTACATACTGCTCTCCAGCCGGACACCAGGGGCTCACACCTGCAACCCTATCTACTTGGGAGGGTGAGATCAGAAGGATGAGACCAGCCCCAGCAAACAGTTCATGAGACCCCATCTCCAAAAAAAACAAGAGCAAGATGCACTGGTGGTGTGGCTCAAGTGGTAGAGCATCTGCTTTGCAAGCACAAAGCTGAGTTCAAACCCCGGTCTCACCAATAAATAAATAAATAAATACTATTCTTCAATAAAAACAAACCAGGGCTCCTTGGAGAAGTGATTGATCTGGACTAGAACAAATACAAGGTGGGCTTTGAGAAGGTACACTCAACAAAAGGCAGGTGGTATTGAAAGGACACAGGAACCAACCAGAACAAATTCCCATGGCCAAAACTGGAGCAATTTGAGCAAGAAAATCAGTAATCATTACTATAATTATATATATAGTTATATATATATATAATTATAACCCAAAGCATAAAATAAATATCCATGATACTACATTAATGTAAATAATCAAATAAAAAGCTAAAAAAGAGAAAAAAACACCTTTTTCTTACATAAGACTTCTAATTAACAAATATGGACAAGAAGGAGAAAACTGGAAAATCAGCACTGGCTTAGCACAGGCAAGATCTACCTAGGAAACTACATCTGAACTTCAAGTTGTCCCCTCCCAAATAACAATAAATTTACAGGAGAGAAACGCAACAGGATCAAGGTTAAAGCAGCAGGAATAAGACACATTGGTATCACGTACCCCACTGAGAAGGACACATCACTTCTGTGGCATTCTGGCCTGGAATTCATAACCTCAGAGTGCTCATTGGAAACCATCAGACAAACTCAACCTGACATTCTTCTACATAACTGAGCATTGCTATTCGAAAGTATCAAGGCTGTGAGATAAAGGACAGGTGAGGAACCATCACCTTGGAGGAGACTAGGAAGCACAATTGAATGTAACGCAGGATCCTGGAAGGATAGTATGGCAGAAAAAATCAGTGGAATAACTAAGGACATGCAGATGAAGCCTGCACTATGGTAGGATATTGTGCCAGTGTTAACCCCTTGGTTTCGATCTTGTGGATTGTTATAAACCATCTTAACATTAATCCTGAGGCTGGAACCTAAGCATGAAGGAGCTGTAGATACTCCCCTTACAACTCTTCTGTTAGTCAAAAGTGATTTCAAAATGAAAAGCTTTAAAAAAATAATCCAGGCATGATGTCATATGCCTGCAGTCCCAGCTACTAGGGAGACTGAGGCGAAGGGATCACATGAGCCCAGGAGTTTGGGGCCAGCCTGGGCAACATAGCAAGACCCTGTCTCAAAACAAAAAACAAACAAAAAAACCCACAAGCCACACTCTAAGAAAAAGTTGGCACTGTAAGTGCCTGGGAATTTACTCTACTTAGAAGCTAATAAATGACCCTTTTACTCCGTCATGGATGCCAGGAGCAGACATAAGAATGCTGGGTCCGAGACAAAGATTTTGCTACTCACGGCACCAACCAGGGGCATGAGCATTGTGTTGCACTGGTTTCCCTGTACCCCTAAGTCCCCCCGAAACTGAGCCTGCAGATGGACTAGACTGTGTTACGGGAGAGGAATGCTGAGCTAAGGGGATTTTTCCTTTTACAGAGTAGCAGCTTATTTGCTCTTTGTCTGGGGATGTGACAATTCATCCCTCCAGGTTGTTCATCACAAGCAATCAGGCAAAGACCAGGCAGGACCTCACACTCTCTTCAGATCTACCAAGGACCATATAGACGTCCTCACCCAACATATGTAACAAGTGCCTCATAGCCTTAACATGTTAAAAAAATTCCTGGACATCAGAACCAAAGAACACCTGAATTTTTTATTGGAGGAAAGACATTAAAAGGCAATTCATAAAAGAAATATAAATAGCCAATAAACTTGTAAAAAGTGCCCAACTTTTTTATTTTGGCAGCACTGGGGCTTGAACTCAGGACCTTGCACTTGCTAGGTAGGCACTCTACACTTGAGTCACTCTACCAGCCTAAAGGGGCACAACTTTAATAAGGGAAAGGAAAAATAAAACCAGTATGTGAGTCATATCTCAAGGCTGCTGCAGAAGAATGAGGGAGGGAAGGAGGGATGGAGGTGGGGAAGGGAGGTGGGGGAGGAAAAGGGAGGGAAGGAAGAAGGAGAAATTTGTTCCCAGAGAAATGATCAGATAAAACTGGGCACATTAACATTTTGGAAAACCATACAGCTTGATCTAATAGGCATAACTTTCCACAATATACTTACTATTGGGCTGTGGGGAGTTAAAGAATATTGTGGTATGATACTACTTAATTAAAAAATTCTAAACATAAAACAAAATTATGTCAGTTCACATATATAAATGCCACAGAAGGTGTTTGGTGGAGACTGGGGCTACCACTGAGGAGCAGGGAGAGGGCAGGGTGTGTGCAGGGAGTGTAAGTGAGAGAGATTTGTTTTATACGTACTGCTTAAATCTTTTACCAAAAAGGACATGAATGCGTTTTTGTAATCAGAAATAGATATGCCAAGGAAAACTAAAGCATCAGTAAAGTATCAAGCCATCCTAGAGATGAACCCTAGGAAAGGAAGCAGAAACACGACAGGGGTGAGGCACACATGATGACAGAACTGTGACGTTCTTCAGCTCGATGAAGCGTATTGATTTACACTTTTGCAAACAATTTGAAACATAAAAGTGATCACAGTAATACTGTTGAGACTGGTACACAAAATATTCAGAATAAGTCCTCATTCTTTCTGCTGGGAATTACTATGGCATCTGAGAGTGCCTTTACTCAAAGTTTAACACTTCTAAATACACGATTCCATTATATTAAGAACAGCATGTAACAGTGATCACTGGAGGCTGGCGGGGGGGACAAAGGAGGTTCAGTAAAGAGACCAAAACACAGCAGGAGTTAGTTCTCAATTAAAAAAACTGTTTCAAAGAAGCAGTTCGGTAAGAGTCATTTTCTCATCCGTTGTCTGAAGTACACTAAACTTTAAAGCAAAGGCCTCTTACCTTTAGAAGTTTGGAGTGTGCGACGTTTAGCACGTTTATGACTGCCTTACAGCTCGGCCCTTTAATCTGCTCGATAATGTAGTTGAACTTGGCTGACATGCGCTTCCAGTGCTCCAGCTCCGTGAGTGGACCTGAATCGTCTGCCTCCTTCCTCATCTGCTCACTCTCAATCAGTACCTGCAATTAAAAGCAGAGGACAGATGGAACATCACAGGGCCTTTTCAGAGAACAGAAGTATACAGAACATGCAACACTGAATAATACTGAAAAACTCTCAGCAAACAAAGAACAGAAAGGAACTTTGTCAACCTGGTAAATAGGTATCTACCAAAAACAAGCAAACAAACAAAAAAGTCAAATAAGCATCACGCTAAAAGGTAACATTTTAGAAAACATCACCCACTTCTATCCCACCGGGTAAAGGAAGACCCAGAGGGAGATAAGCAAACAAAAGGTATACAGATTGGAAATTATGAACAATTCAGTAAGGTTACTGGATCTATACACAAAAAAAATCAGTAGCACTTCTTTACAAATTCTATAACAATATGAAATGTAATTTCAAAAAAGATACCATTTGCAGTAGCAAATAATAACACTGGTAAAGATATTGGAAATTAATCTAGCAGAAGATGTGGAAGATCTTTCGGGAGAAATAAGAACACTGACTTTAGCCAGGTACCAGTGGCTCACACCTGTAATCCCAGCTACTCAGGAGGCAGAGATCAGGAGGATCGTGGTTGGAAGCCAGCCCAGGCAAATAGTTCACAAGACCCTATCTTGAAAAAACCCTTCACAGGACCAGAAACTAGACAAAAGGTTAGATCAAAAAGAATTAACCTAGAAGGTAACACACACCACAGGAAATTAATGTGAGTCAACTCCCTGTATAGCTATCCTTATCTCAACCAGCAAAAACACTTGTTCCTTCCTATTATTGCTTATACTCTCTCTACAACAAAATTAGAAATAAGGGCAAAATAGTTTCTGCTGGGTATTGAGGGGGTGGGGGGGAGAGGGAGGGGGCGGAGTGGGTGGTAAGGGAGGGGGTGGGGGCAGGGGGGAGGAATGACCCAAGCCTTGTATGCACATATGAATAATAAAACAATAAAAAAAGTTCCACTCTAAAAAAAATAAGAAAAAAGAAAAAAACCTTCACAAAAATAGGGCTGGTGGAGTGGCTCAAGGTGTAGGCCCTGAATTCAAACCACAGTGCCACAAAAAAACCCCACTAACTTTAAGCACACAGACAACCTAAATCAATGAGACACACACCATGTTCATAGACAGAAAACTTCAATAACATAAAGAAGTCAATTTTCTCTAAACAAATGTATACATTTGATGAAATTCTAATCAAAGTCTCAACGGGTTTTCATGCCACTTGATAAACCAGTCTTCAAATAGAAGAACAATTTGCCAAAAATAAATGAAATAATTTTGAAGGAAAACAAATAGATTTAACATACCAAATGTTGATTTAGTTTTTAAAAAATTCAGCATAGCATGAGACAACAAACAGTGGGACAGATAAAGATATCTAAAAACTTGGTATATGAAAGAGGTAATAATACGATTTTTTTTTAGAAGGAATAAGCAATTAAATAAGCAACTCAACAGAGGATGTTAAATTGGGGCTATTGGAAAACTACATGAAAAAGACAAAATTGGATTCTTACTTCACATCATAACACATGCACACAAAAACATCATTTTAGATGGGTTAAAAACCTCAGTGTTAAAAACAAAATGATAAAGCTTCTATAAGAAAATGTAGGAGTCCTGGTAAAACTAAAGAAAAGCACAGGATTTGATATCGTCATTGTCAAGATACTAGTCACCACTAGGGGGCAGAAAAGGGATTTAAAACCAGGAGGAGAAAGGCAGGGCCCTGTGAGCTTCTGGGAGTGTTGTTTCCTAACCTGTGCAAAGGTTTCACAGGCGTTCATTTTACAACAATCTGTGTCTTACATTGTATTCGTTTTGTGTTATATTTCACTATTTAAATAAATAATTCAGGAAATCTTTGTAACACAAGACTAGGAAATTTTCCTAAATAAACTACAAAAAGGCCAAGCCCAGTGGCTCAAGCCTGTACTGCTCAGAAGGCAGAGATCAGGAGGATTGTAGTTTGAGACCAGCACAGGCAAAAAGTTCATGAGACCTCATCTCAACCAATAAAAGCAGGGAGTGGTGATGCATGTCTGTCATCCCAGATTTATGAGACACATACAAAGGAGAATCGAGATCCAGGCAAAGAAGAAGTAAAGCAAGACTCTACCTCAAAAACAACCAGAGCACCTGCCTAACAAGTGTGAGGCCCTGAGTTCAAACCCCAGTACTGCCAAAAATTAAATAAATAAAATGAAATACAAAAGGCATAAAAGTTCCCTTATGAAGGGAGCTAAATCGATGCTGGATCAGCTTTGGTAATTAACATTTAACTACAGTAAATTTAAAACATGATCAAAGACACATGCCTAATGAAAAGGCACGACACAGTGCAGACCAACAGAGAATTAACATCTGGGAAATATTACTTAAGCTCCAACAGCTCAATAAAAATATCACTAAGCAATCAAAACAAAACAAAAAACACCTAAGAACAGGAAATTCAACAAGGAGGAACTCTAGCCATTAAACATGCTTAACTTCAAAAGTATTCAGGATGATGCAACATAATCTAGATAACTTTTCACACCTAAAACTGGCAACAATGAAAAATGTGACAACCCCAACATAACCAGACACTTAAAGAAATTAGAACTTTCATATGCTTCTGTAAAAAATATTAACTAATAAGCCACTATTTGGAGGGCTTGGTAATATCCAACAAAAGATCTGTACATAAACGCTCTCAGGAACTCCATTGAGAAACTCAATGTGTATAAGGGAGGTCTGAGCAAAGATAGTTGTAGAGTATGTATTATTGTTGTTTGTAATTGCAAGAAAAGAAGGCCAGGCACAGTGGTTCATGCCTACAATCCCAGCTATTCAGGAGGCAGAGATTGGGAGGATCATGGTTTAAGGCCAACCCTGGGAAGAAAGTTAGCAAGACCCCATCTCAATCAATAAGCTGGGCATAGTGGTACATGCCTGAGATTCCAGCTATTTGGGAGGCCGTAAGTAGGAAGACTGCAGGCAAAAACATAACACCCTACTGAAAACAACTAAAGAAAAAAGGGCTGGTGGCGTGGTTCAAGTGGTACACAGTGCTGCCTAGCAAGCATGTGGCCCTGAGTTCAAGCCCCAGCACAGCCAAAAAAGAAGAGAAAAGAAGCACAAGTAACGGTGTTTCCAAGGGACTAGATGAGTACACTTCCATACTTCCTCAAATAGAGGATGCTAGTGTAATTTAAATGTCTCCTCAATGTCTAAAAGCCTGTAAAAAAAAAATATGGTTTCTTCACTGAGGAATACCAGAATGAAGTTTAAGTGAATGAATTAAAATACTTAAGCAACATAGAACTGATGAACCAAAATGTTAAAGAGGCTGTAGTCACATACAGCCTCTGCTATGGTTATAGGCTCGATGTTTCTGTGCCCCCAAACTCACTGCTGAAACCTGATTTCCAGAGTGACAGTCTTTGGAGATGGGGACTTTGGGAGGTGATCAGATGAATGGGATTCAGCAGAGCTGCCTTGCCCCTTCCACCATGTGAGGTGGACAACAAAAAGCCAGCCTCAGAAGATGCTGAATCCCCTGCAGCACAGTCAGTGGCTGTCAGAGTCCTGTGGTGGGCAATGGTCTGCTCCAGTTCCCTAGTGACAGACACCTGGAAGGAACTTCTGTGGCCAGCACCCAGTTTTTAACACCTCAATTGCAGCTCCCTCCTCTGGCACAGCTCTAGAACAGGTAAAAGCAGAAATGTCCCCCTCTCCCTCCTGCTTTTACTCCCCCAATCCTCTCTTGACTGAAGATTTTCTTCTCTAGTTCCTGTCCTAGGTGCTCCGGACTCAGGTCTGGGAGTTGGCTCCTAGCATCCACGCATCCGTGTTCAGTTAGGAAAATCACATAACTGGGGTTTTTTTGCATTGTTTGTAGTATAAGTTGGAGCCTCTAGTAATTTTGACATATATTCCTTTTGGGGGGGGGTGGGCTGGGGGATAACTGAGGGTTGAACTCAGGGTTTTATCCCTGCCATCAAGTGCTCAACCACTTGAGCCATGCTCCCAGTCCTTTTTGCATTGGCTATTTTTGAGATAGGGTCTCACATCTGTGCCCAGTCAGCCTGGAACATGGTCCTCCTTTTAAACTTCCCTTACAGCTAAAATGACAGGCGTGCCCAGCTATTGACTAAAATGCAGTCTCACCAATGCTTTCAAACTGTGACCCTCCCGATCTCTGCTTCTCAAGTAGCTCCGATTATAGGCATTGGCCACAGCACCAGGCTATACTCCATTTCTTTTTTTTTTTTTTTTTTTTTGTGGTACTGGGGCTTGAACTCAGGGCCTTCACCTTGACCCCCTCCACCAGCCCTATTTTTGTGAAGGGTTTTTTGAGATAGGGTCTCATGAATTATTTGCCCAGGCTGGCTTTGAACTTTGATCCTCCTGATCTCTGCCTCCTGAGTAGCTAGGATTACAGGCGTGAGCCACAGCACCAGGCTATACTCCATTTCTACTACTGCTTTTCTTACTGCCAGAGAAAAACTTTTGACCAGAGAACTGCAACTTTGCCACTGTACTACTGGTAAGAATGAGCCCTGCCTGACCATGTCTGACGACAGAGACAATTCCATTGACCACCAGGAGGTATTTATTTAGCGCAAAGCACTATGACTCATCTCCCTCCCTTATGGAGAGTACAAACAATAAGCAAATTATCACAGAGAGACGCTGACTAAGTGTGATCTAGTCCTGAGTCCTCCTGATTTCATTCTCAAACCATATTGTTACAGTTTCCTCCTTAAAGTGAAAAATATATTGAAGTTAATTTTAAGTGATCCACATAGACCAGAGATTCTACTCTAGAGCCAAGACTAGGCTGAGTTTCAAGACAGCAGCTGAAAGAAGTCAGACTTTTCTTCCCTGTACTTCAGGAACAAATGCCTGGCAAGGAGGCTCACGGGAATGCAGGGTGGGACTGACGCTCGCACCTGCTCAATCTGTTTATACCAAATCATCAGAACATCTTCAAGTTGATGAACTGTTTCTGCATTGCCTGCTGCACTTGTCACTTCTTTGAAGGTAAGCAGTCTGGAAAAATCGACATTGTCTATCTTCTTTAACATCACTGTTCCCTCAATGCTTATCCTAGCACCTTAAAAGGAAAAAAAAAAATTAAAAAAAGAAATGTTTCATGTCAATGTGTGTTCTCAAGCGATAATTACTGAAATGTTGAAGGTCTAGCACTTTATAGAAATATAACTCTAATGGAGCATTACATTGCAACTTGATCTGTTAATAAAATTATTTTTAGAACATTAATTGATAAAAGTATACATTTTAAGCCGGACACCGCTGGCTCACACCTGTAATCCTATCTGTTCAGGAGGGAGAGATCAGGAGGATCAAAGTTCAAAGCCAGCCTGGGCAAATAGTTCATGAGACCCTATCTTGAAGAAAATCATCACAAAAAAGGGCTGGTGGAGTGGCTCAATGTATAGGCCCTGAGTTCAAGCCCCAGTACTGCCGAAAAATAAAAAGTATACATTTTAAAGAGTCAACAATAAAGTGTACATTTTTAAATTTTTGCTAATAATAAAGAAAGAGATTCCTCCTCCTATAACGCAAAATAAAAAAGAAAACACACCTTATTTCTTCAGAGACCCTGGAAATGAGGGGCTCTCGTGATTTCATGCCTTTCCTCCAGGTCTTATACTGACTAACGTCTTCTTTTAAGATGGAAACGTTTCTCTAATTATTTTTTGGTGGTACTGGGACTTGAACTCAGGGCCTCACACTTGTTAGACAGGCGCCCTACCACTTGAGCCACTCCACCAGCCCTGTATCGTGTTGGGTATTTTTGAGATAGGGTCTTGTGAACTATTTGCCTAGGGCTGGCTTCAAACTACAAACTGCGGTCCTCCTGCTCTCTGCCTCCTGAATAGCTAGGATTATAGGCGTGAGGTGCTGGTGCCTGGCCTCTCTAATAATTTCATAACCTATCTTATAATTAATTTGCTCATTTTTAGTAGTTTACTAAACATTATGTTTTACACTTACCATCTAAAAATGAAAGGTATCTGCTGATGGTTTCTGTGAAAATCTGTCTTTCAGACTCCCCCTGTTTGGACTGGTTTAAAGCACCCCAGTTGCTTGTTGCAAGGATAGCTGGGAGAAATACACTTGCCAGCATCTTCCCAATGCCACTCAGAAGTCCTTTGGAGGCATCCAAAACAGTGAACAGCACATCCTGAAGTGGGGATTCAAATGTTTTTTACATGCTCACTCCATTACAGAACTGAGAATCATAAGCTATTTTTTATGATTTTATTAGCATATAATAGTTGTTCAGGGGATACACTGTGATATTTACATATGTGTTTAAAATATATCTTAATTGGATTTATCCCCTCATTGTTCTCCCTCTTCCTCCCTCCCCCTTCTTGGAACAATTTCAAAAGGTTTCATTCTTCTACTTTCATATGTGGATACAAAATACATCCGCCATATACACCTTCATACCCCTTTCCTTGTGCCAGCCCCTGAAAAAGATTTATTTTTTTAAAAAATGATCTTCATTTTTTTAAAATTAAGCATATATTGATAGTCTACGGGGGGTCACCTTGGCACTTCAGGTCTGTATCTATCATGCATACGCTGTTTTCATGGTGATAAGCAGATACACTTTGTAAACTTAAATATTAATGCTCTAACATCCACAGACTTATATCCTGCCCCATTCTAGCATTCACACGTTAGCTTTCTCCAGGGCTTTAGCTACTGCTAAAGCCTGGAACCCATCAGACCGAAAGAGATATAGGTGAGTCTCCCACCTGGAGAAGTCCTCAGTGGGACTTTTGGGTGAGGGAAGCAACAAAGAAACTAGCTCTTGGCCCAAAACTTTGGATAGAAACAATGATCAGTCACGAGGACTCAAAAGCCTGAAAATCAAAATGCTGCCATCTAGTCTGGAGCCAGTGCCTCATGCCTGTGACCCTAGCTCCTTGGGAGGCTGAGCTGGGGAGGATGGTGGTTCAAGGCCGACCCAAGCAAATAGTTTGCAAGACTCCAAAAAAAAAGAGTAAAATGAACTAGAGGTGTGGCTCAAGCGACAGAGCACCTGCTTTGCAAGCACAAAGGCCCGAGTTCAAATCCCAGTCCCACCCCCAAAAAACCCCACAATCCTGCCATTACAATATGAGATCTCAACTAATGCAACTTAAGTAACTCCCAAGCTAACAAATTAAGGGGAAAAACTCATGTAGGGCCACTGAAAACTGGTTGCTTATTTGTTACCTGTAAGTGTGTGGTTACTATGGTTTGAACATGGGTTACATTCCACAAAGGTCCACATATGAAGGGCTGGATCCCCCAGGGTGGTGCTCCTGAGAGGAGGTAGAACTTTTGGGAGGTAAGACAGAATAGGATATCCTTAGGTTATTGAGGGCATGACCATGAAAGGTTCTTCTCCTTCTTGGTCAAGATGTCATTGGTCAGCCAGATACAATGGCTCACCCTGTAATCTCAGCTACTCAGAAGGTACAGCTAAGGAGGATGGAAATTTGAGGCCAGCCCAGTCAAAAACTTAAAGAGACCTAAGTAGACATGGTGGTGCACACCTGAAATTCCAGCAACCTGAGAGGCATAGGTAGGAGGATTCCAGTGTGAAACTAACTTGGGCAAAAAAGCTTGAGACCCTATCTGAAAAATAACTAAAGCAAAAAGTCCTGGGGGTTGGAGTTCTGGCTCAGTGGCTCATGCCAATAATCATAGCTACTTGGAAGATGGAGATGAGGAGATGAATTCTGAGGCCAGCTTGGGCAAAAAAAGTTAGTGAGACCTCATCTCAATCAATAAGCCAGACATGGTGGTATCCACTTGTCATCCCAAAGATGAAGGAGGACATAGATAGAATTGAGGTCTAAGGCCAGCCCTTGGCCAAAATGTGACACCCTACCTAAAAAATAACCTAAAAGCAAAAAGGTCTGAGAGTATGACCCAAGTGGTAGAACACCTGCCTAGCAAGCACAAAGCCCTGAGTTCAAACCCCAAGACTACCAAAAAAAAAAACCAACAATTGCTCACTCCAGTATGTGTTCCTACCATTGCCATCCAGTGGTCTCTGGGACCCCCCAATCTTGGACTGGAACTTCCAAAGCTATGTGCAAATAAATTTCTTTTTATAAGTCAATTGCCTCAGATACTTTACTGGAGTAACACAAAGCTGACTTATACAGTAACTATGACCACAGGTACAGCTAAGTAAGTACCACTATCTTGACTGCGCTAAGATGTCAGCATTTTTTCTCACCACTGCTTCTGCACCATAGGTCAAATGTCAACAAATACCATCTTAACATGATGAAAATTAGTTCTTCCTCATAGATGCCCTCAAAGTGTCAGGGGTAGTACTTTGAGAACCATCAGTACACTATATGTCCCAGCTGTGACTGCATTTATGTAGTTACTACGATGTAAGCAAATTATTTAGCTAAACAGTATAGAAAGAACTGTATTGGAAGAATGTAGGAATGGAGACAATAGGAGAGGGCCACAGAATAAAAAAGAGCTAAATCCTCATCTTCTACAGAGGAAAGACCAGAGGTAATGTCTACATTGGCAAAAGAAGCAATTGTAGCAAATTATTTAGAGTTGTGGAGGTAAGTGAAGGATCTGTTGAGACCGGGCATGGTGTGTGACACCTGTAATCCCATACTCAGGAGGCTAGACAGGGTGATCATCTGACTCCAGGAGTTCAGGGTCAACTTTAGCAACATACCAAGACCTCATCTCAAAAAATAAACAAATATATGAAAAAAGGGCTGGGGATGTAAGTCAGTGGCAGAACACTTGCCTGGCATGCATGAGGTCCTGGGTTCCATCCCTAGCACTGAAAATCAAATCAATAAACAAAGAATAAAAACACACCTAAATTATAAAAAAAAAAAAAAAACAGGTTAAATCACAGATAAATTGAAGAGAGAACTACTGAAATGAAAGTTAGGTTGTTGAACGAACATACACATTGGGGTGAAACAAGAGGGCAACAGAGACAAAGAGGAAATGAGATGAAAGGAAAAAGGACAGATTCCCTACGACAGGCCCTAGTAGGAGAGGCCTCATCAACCACAGAAAATGCAGTGAAATACCTAGAAGGAGCCAGGCGGACACACTGCCAACCTATAACAACCTCTCTTCAAGAAATCTTTTTTGTCAGAAACAGAAAAGCAGCAAAATTAGGTTGGATTTCAGCTGTGTTTCCCATTATAAGAGGTATTAAGACTCTCTAAGAATAACCAAGAGAACTAATATTTGTTGAGAGGTTAGTGTGTCAGGCAATATAAGAATTTGTTTATATTATCATTCCAAGGTTTAGCGACAATCCTGTAAGGGGGTGTGTTATTCTCAATTTAAGCATGTCCCAAGTCTCAGAAAGGACAAGCAGCTTGCTAGCCAGTGGTGAAGGTCAGAGGCAAATTCGGATTTATCTAACTAAAATTCTTGTTTTGCCATCCTGCCATCCTGCCTTCCCAGGATGAGGTTCACAGTGTCCTGGCTGTCAGTCACTGCTCTCTTTCTCTTCCAAAACTATTAAAGAATTAAAATATTGAGAGAGGAGAAGGTGAAACAAAGTAACTACTACTTCAAATTGCATGAACAGAACCGAATGTGACCCTGGTGAATGGAAGCACGGAGATTATTTGTACACCATCTAGCGAAAACGGAATTTTCATGAATTTTAAAAGGCAGTATCTGAAGGATAAATATAACTAAGCTCTATTATAGCCCATTTCTTGGCTTCTTTGAATATATGAATATATTATTTCCTTGGCACTCAGTTCAGCCCTATATATAGAAAAGTGAAGCAAAAATATGACCAGGAAAAGACATCAGTGTTTACCTCTGTAGAAGAAAGATGAAACGTACCTCATGAATACTTTTAACATTTAAAGCAACATCATTACGACAGCGAACAAAAAATAAGCACAGTCCTTTCAGTTTGTCCGGGGCAGCACTGTCCACGTACAGCCTCATCATTTTTGACCCTTTGCCTGCTCCAGCAATTGTCCGACCACATTCTGGAAACCAAAGTCAAGAACTGAGCATATGGTCCATAATTGAGCAAATGTGACAAGTGACTGTGGTCCTTACTCTATTGTCTGTTGTTTCAATATGATCATGGAGTACTTTTTTTTTTTTTGTCTGTCAGAAGGTGACAATAATTGTGATTGTGAAATGGCAGCCTCCTCTAGTGCTTTTTCTGAGCTCTGACTTTCATCCTTTTGGGCCTGCCCCAGGGCCTTCTCTTACACTGCTGTCCTATCCCACCCCCAGGCCCCTGCCGACCAAATTCCCACTCCTTTTTCAGATCTCAGCTGAAATGCCACCATCTCAGGAAGCCCTCCTGGACTGCCCTGAGAAGAACCAGTTCCCACATATGAAATACACTCACAGAACCTAACCTATACTAAATCTGTCCTTAAATTAATTTCAGTAAAAATTAAGCATTTAATTGTAACCTTTCTTTACTTTTAAGAACCCATTTTTTTGGTGGAACTGGTGTTTGAACTTAAGGCTTCAGGCTTAGCAAAGCATGTGCTCTACTGCTTGAGCCACACCTCCAGTCCATTTTGCTCTGGTTATTTTGGAGACAAAGCCTCACGAGCTCTTTGCCCAAGCTGGTCTTGAACCTCCATCCTCCCAATCTCAGCCTCCCAACTAGCTAGAAGTACAGGTGTGAGGCACCCGTGCCTGGCTTACGTAGAAGTTTTAAATGAGGGAAATATGTAATGACATAGAAAAACATCTATGATATATGGGCCAGTGCAAAAAAGCAAACTGAGAACAAAATGCATTTCTATGATCCATTTTAAAGTAATAATAAGCCTTCATATGTTAGCACATGCATATGAGAAAGAAGTAGAGAGATGTTTACAAACTGATCTGATCAATGTATTACTTTTCAGGTACAAATGTAATGATCAGAAGTATGTCCACCCTTTGCTCTGGCAAGTCCACTCTGAGAAGTCTTCCTAAAATTTCTTCCTAATCCAGTAGAGGTAGCTTCAGTGATATTCATTGAGGTACTGTTTCAAGGAACAAAACATTGAAAACAGCCTACATTGTAAGACATCAGTTTTGAAAATTATAGTTACAGCAGCCTGATGAAATATAATGCAAATGTTAAATTTTTAATCGTAGACATCGGGAAACACTGCTTTTATCCTAAAGGCAGAGGCAATGACTGAGTAGGACTTCAGTCCTACTCAGAAAAAAAGAGCAAGAATTGACAAATAAGACTGCATCAAATTAAAAAGCTTCTGCACAGCAAAGGAAATAATTACCAGAATGGGAGAAAATCTTTGCTAGCTATTTATCTGGCAGGGGACTAATATCCAGAATATATAAAGAACTCAAAAATATTAAACACCAAAAGAACAAATAATCCGGTCAATCAATGGGCAAATGAATTAAACAGACAGTTCTCAAAAGAAGAAATAAAAATTGTCAATAAATACATGAATAAACATTCAGCATCTTTAGCCATCAGGAAAATGCAAATCAAAACTACACTGAAATTCTATCTCACCCCAGTCAGAATGGCCATCAAGAAAACAACAAAAGCTGGTGGGGATGCAGGGGTGAAAGGAGCCCTTCTGCACCATTGGTAGGAATGTAAGTGAGTACAGCCACTATGGAAATCAGCATGGAGGTTCCCCAAAAGACCAACAAAACTGCCATATGATCCAGCTATGCACTCCTGGGTATATACTAGAAGGAACATAAGTCAGCATACAAACATACATGTTTATTACAGCACTAGTTATAATAGCCAAGTTACGGAAACGCATCCTATGTGCCCACACACAGATACATGGATAAAGAAAATGTGGTGTATATACACAATGGCATATTATTCAGAAGAGTGAAAATTATGTCGTTTATAGGAAAATAGATGGAAACAGAGGTCATCATGTTAAGAGAAATAACCCACATTCAGAAAGGCAAATATTCCATGCTCCTTCTCATTTGTGGAATCTAGATTTTCAAAAAAGACATGAAAGTAAGAAGGGGGACTATTTGGGAAAAGAAAGGGGACAACCAGAAGGGAAGGTAGGACAAGAGAGGGTAATGGGGATGAATGTGATCAAAGTACATTTTATACATGTGTGAGGATGTTATACTAAGCCAGGCACAGTGCCTCACACCTGTAATCCTATCTACTTGGGAGGCTAAGAGTGAGAGCATCTTGGTTCAAGGCCAGCCCAGAGAGTTTAAGAAACTCCGTTTCAACAAACAGCTAAGTACAGTGTTGTATGCCTGTCATCCTAAGCTATGTGAGAGGCTGAGATGGGGAGGCTCACGACTGGAGACAAGCCTGGGAAATAAAAAAAAAAAAAAAAAAAAAAAACAGTGTTCAGGTGATGTCATGTGACCCAATAGCTAGGTGCACGCCTGTCATCCCCAGCTATACAGGGAAGCACAAAGAGAACTGAGGTCGAGGCTGCCTGGGCATAAAGTGAGACCCTATTTCAAAAATAACCAACAAAAAAAGGGCTGGCAGAGTTGCTCAAGTGATAACACACTTACCTCATAAGCATGAGGCCTGAGTTCAACACTCAGTACCACAAAAAAAAAAAACCTATAATGAAACCCATTATCTTGTACAATTGAAGTTTAAAGTTCTTAATTGTAGAAATGTATTTACTGGCACTGAGAAGACAGATTGGAGAACATGATATTGTCCAATTTTTAAAGCCACAATTAGGACTGTGTGTGAAGGTACACACCTGTAGTCCCAACTACTTGAGAGGCAGAGATTGGGAGGACTGCAGTTTGGGGTCAGCCCAGGCCAAAAATTAGCAAGACCCCATCTCAACAAATAACCGGGCATGGTGGTGCACACCTGTGATACCAGCAATGTGGGAGGCATCAATAGAGGATCATGGTCCAAGGCCAGCCTCAGGTAAAAAGCAGGAGACCCTATCTGAAAAATAATTAAACCAAAAGAGTTGTGCCAGTTGTAGAATGCCTGCCTAGGAAGTCTTGAGTTCAAACCCCAGTAATGCAAACAAACAAGTGAAAAAACGTCAATGCAGAATGATTGACAGAGGGTTGGGGCATGGCTCAAGTGGCAGAGCACTTGCCTCGCATGCACAAAGCCTGGGTTCGAGTCCCAGTACCTGTACACACACACACTATACACACAGTTGTAAAATATGTATACGTAGCAATGTAGTGCTAGAGGGGCGTTCATCAAAGAGTTGGTAATACTTTCTCCAGCTGAGTGGGTCTGTGCATAGCTAATTTCTTCTAAGTGCATGCATTTTCTTGTTTTTTCTATACTTTATCCTTTAAATTTTTAACCAGTTATAAAAAATATGGACTACGTAATAACCCCTCCCCCAAGATAAAAAGTGTGAGAATGAGAAAATCCAGACTAGCCCTAGTCACAATTATGAATTTACATATTTTGTTGGAGAAGCAAGTGTTCCATGACCCACAGAGACACAGACAACTGCAGTTGCTCAAGTTCCTTGTATAAATCAGCACAGTGTTTGCCTATACCCTCCCAACTCCTCCTGTATACTTTAAACCATCTCCAGATTGCTTCTCAGATCCAATACTGTGTATTCTGACAGCAAACGTGCTCAGTTGGATGCGTTCTCTCCCCACCCTCCTCAGGTGGGTGAATCCATGATGCAGAACCCATGGCTATGGAGGGCTGACTGTATGTGTATTAAACAATGAGGAGGAAATTGTAAGTGAAACAGGAGTCTGGAGAATAGTGATGGATGTGGGTTGGGACACGGAGCAGCACAGGTTATCAGAAGCAGGGTAGAGGCTACGGGGACAGAAGAAGGGTAGAACAGTGGGGAGAGTGGTGGGAGGCAGAGAAATGACTGCCATTACAGAAACCAGTAAAGATCATCACTTAAGGAAAGAACAGAGGCTCAGCCTAGACAAGTATTGTGCATCCATCCAGACAACGGCCTTTGGTTAAGGGGGGATTTATATCCAATCCAGTAAACAGCAGGACAATGAAAGATTTACTTGTCAGGAATCAGTAGTGTGACTTTCAGTGGGAAAATCTGATAACAGAGGTATCATCAGGTTTTGATCAGGAATACTAAGTCCCAAGCTGAGGCAGCAGAGGAGGAAAGTGAGAAAAAAATCAATAGGAGAGACATATTGAAGGCAAATCCACAGGACACAGAAGATAAGTAACCTAAGACAAAAGGATGGTCCCTGGACCTAGCTACTGAAATGAGGGTTTCATAACCCGGCTGTGTGTTAATTATTTTAGGTGTAATATGAACAGCAGGGAAAGCCAGACACACAAGTGACAGCTGCAGCAGGCACAAGATGCTGAGCCAGTGCCACAGGGACAGCTCCTGGGCTCTGGAGTGGCCTCGTGACCATTTCTAGTCATCTGAAAGCATATGGGCAAAAGGGCCCCACCTGTTCCAGGGGATTGCAATTAAATTCTGATGGAAATGTGTATTTCCCAGTGCTACAGGGTGTTTCTCCTTATACCATTACAGCAGAGTCTGAAACACATGTTGGGGCTGAAAATGTACTGTTCTTAAGACACTTTCTTTTTTTCACATAAGCTTCTGGCAAAAATGTCTTAATGAAATAAAATCCTGTGGCTGGGCAAGGTGGCTCATGCCTGTCATCCTAGCTACTCAAGAGGCTGAGATCAGGAGAATCATGGGAGAATCACAGTTTGAGGCCAGCCTGGGCAAATAGTTCAAGAGACCCCATCTCCAAAATAACCAGAGCAAAATGGACTGGAGGTGTGGCTCAAGTGAGCAAGACACCATCTCAACCAATAAAAGCTGGACCTGGTGGAGGGGGGATAAGTAGGAAGACCCTATTCCAAAAATAATTAGAAAGCAAAAAAGGCTGGAGGCATGGCTAAAGGGGTAGTGCCTGCCTACAAAGCATGAGGTCCTGTGTTTACACCCCAGTACAGAAAGAAAGAACTGTGTATGTATAAGAGAAAAAAACACTCATTAACTAACCACTAGAACAATGCCCTCATAAAACATCCTTACCAATGCCAGGTACATCTCCTTCCTGATACAAAAGCTTCAGTGTCTTACAACCATCTTTCTCAAAAAAATGGATAAACGGATCCAGCTGTGAAATAAAAGAATGTGATGATCAGTGGCGAGAGAATTACAATAAAATGGATCAACTCCTATCTGAGGCATCTCACGTCCCTTAGTTATCATCATCGTGTTGTAGATGAAGAAAATAAGGCTTAAAGGCTTTAGTGAAAGCATGTCTGAGGCAAGATTAGACCAAACTGACTTAATTCCAACACGCCATGAAGTACAAGGTAAATTCTACCTTTTTGTTTTTCTTTTTTTTTTTTAAGAGACAATGTCTCAGCCAGGCGCCTGTGGCTCACACCTGTAACCCTAGCTACTTGGGAGGCTGAGATAGGGAATTTAGCAGTTCAAGGACAGCCCAAGCAAAAAGTTAGTAAGACCTCATCTCAACAGAAAAAGCTGGGTGTGGTGGTATACTCCTGTCATCCCAGTTACCACCAGAAGTTTAAAACAGGAGGACTGAGCCCCAGGCCTGCCTGGACAAAAAGTGAGATGCTATCTTCAAAATTACCAGAGCAAAAAGGGCTGGAGGCATGGCTCAAGCAGTAGAGTGCCTCCCTCACAAGCATGAAGCCCTGAGTTCAAACCCCAGTACCGCCAAAAAAAAAAAAAAACACAAGGCCTCTCAGCTGGGGGTGGAGGCTCACACCTTAGAGGGAGAGGGGGCTGAGGTAGGGAAATCATGAGTTCAAAGCCAGCCTGGGCTGTATAGCAGGACCTTGTCTAAAAGAGAGAGAGAGAGAGAGACAGACAGACAGACAGACTTTCTATGCTGCCCAGGCTAACACCAAATTCCTGGGCTCGAGCAATCCTTCTGCCCAGCCTCTCAAGTAGCTGGAACTATCACAAAACTAGAAAGGTGAGACAGACTGGAGGTAAACATAAGGAATTATTATTAAGAGAAACAACTCTTAAAAGCTGCCTTTTAAGGGTACAGAAAATTAGCCTTTAATATTAACTAGCTGCTTTGTCTGACCAATGAGTTAAACAACGATGTTTCTGGCGATTATAATTTGGTTCACATTATAGTCAAACCAATATAAAAACAAATTATTATAATGAGATTTTTTTCCATATCTATGAGCATAAAGTTTTTATTCAGTTATTAAAGAGTCAATGTAATGTCTTTATAGGTAGAAAGCTAAAGCCCTCCCACATCGTAAGTGAAATACAAAAGTTAGCACACCTAAGTCTCTCTTTTGAGCAGTGAGTTTGTGTTTTTGGTGGTACTGGACTTTGAACTCAGGACCTCACACTTGCTAGGAAGGTGCTCTACTACTTGAGCCACTCTGCCAGCCCTAGGGCACTGACTTTCCCTTACTGCCCACTGGGGAAAGCATCCCACGTGAGGCAAAGCCACCCCTTACGGTGGCTCTCAAACCTTACTGAGCACCAGACTGTCACATAGAGGGTGGTTTGTTAAAGACACCAGATGTTGGGTCTGAGAATTTTTGACACTGATGCTGCTGGTCTGGGACCACATTTGAGGACCAGGTGACAAAGCAGAGCATGGGGACATGTGTAACTCTGGCCTTGATCTTCTGCTCCTCCATCTCCCACATAACCAACTCTCACATGATCACAACCTAAAGACACGATCGCCGTCAGCACAGCCATTCTTGTCCAGTAACATCAGTACTTTCTGGATGACCCATTAGCTCTGAAAGCCTAAGAATTCTCAAGAATAGTGCACATAACTATGATAAAAAGATATAAATGTTCCATAGCTGGAGATGTAGCTCAGTTGCAGAGCAGTTGCCCAACACGTACCAGGCTCTGGGTTCGATCCCTACCAACACACACACACACACACACACACACACACACACACATTTCAGGAAAGTGGCATGAGATCATGAAACCAGCCCACACGCCCATGAAGCCAGCCTTGACCATGATGGCACATTCCACCAGGTGACCTGGAAAGCCACACCCTACTTCCATGCAGTTCCCACCATGGCACCTCTCGTTTAATGTACACATCTCCATGCATGCTCTGTCCCTGGTCATTAGAACAGCTTAGAGCGGTGGATATCTTTGCCTCAATCACATCCCCATCTCACTGTCACGACCACACACTAAAGGAACAGAGGACTGCCAGGAATACGTGCTTGTAAAGGTCCTGGAAGTGCAGGCAAATAACTTTGCAGAACTAGGCAACACGCATCGAGCAAGGGAGAAGCTCTTTTTGTTTGGGGGGGAGGGATTAAACTCAGGACCTCGCACTTGCAAGACAGGCACTCTACCTAAAGTCAACCATACCCCCTAGCCCTTTGTGCTATAGGTATTTCTCGAATAGGCTGTAGCATCTATGCCAGGGTCAGCCTTGACCAGAATTCTATTTATGCTTCCTTCATAGCTGGGATGACAGATGTATACCACCACGCCCAGCTTTTTTTACTGATTGAGATGGGATCTCTTGAACTTTTTCCCCAGGCTAGCCTCCAACTGTGATCCTCCCAATCTCAGCCTCCCAAGTAGTTAGGATTATAGGCATAAACTGTTGCGCCCAGCCAAAGGGAGAAGCCCTTTTAGGCACCAATTCATGAAATCCTGGCTCCTCGAACTTTTCCCAAATCTACTGACCATTGTCAAAGCAGGGGGTATCACCCCCATGGCAAAATGTTACCCCAACTCCCTCATCAGTACGTTTGGTGGCACAATCAGCTCGCCAGCCTGTATGTGCTCACTGGTCTTCTGGGATTCTAGCCTAGTCTACTCCTAGAGTTGAGGAAAAATCCAAGCAACTAGTGGAACCAGAGCAATCAAGAAGGAATCTATGATACAGTTTATCCTGTATTACAAACAATTTCCACTTAAACCGAGGACATCTTTAAGGGCAGAAGGAGACACGGTTACTAACTCTGCCGGAAAACAGACACGATGCAGAACTGTCCCTGGTACACTGAGACATCTGGAAACCTGACTTGTTTTCTGCCCTATTCGCAAATAGTCACTGGGCGCTATCTCTAGTTTGCAGAATGCTTGTGTATGTGGTTCATAAAACCTCACTGTAAAGCACCACCCTACCTCTGCGTGGCTATCCCGCTAACTTCTGAAGACGCTTGGAGTTAGAATGTTAACCCAATTACAGCTGCTAACTCTTCCTCCACAACTGTAGACTTGACTAGAAACATCGCTCAACTGACCGTATCTGTATAAAATAAAGCTTCTTCTCTGGTCTATAACATTCCGACCTTCTCTTCCTAAATGTTGAGCTGTAAATGACAACGGCAATCCCTTCGATCACTCACTTCTCAAAGCGCAATTTAAAAATAAGGAAGGGACTGCGGGTGCAGCTCCGTGGTCACGGGAGCGTTTAGAACAGATGAAGCCCTGGGTTCAGACCCCAGCACCAAATACTACTACTAATAAAGGCAAGCCTTAAACTTACAGACGGGCAGTCCAAAATTAACTCTTCAACAGTGACGTGGTCCAGGCCAATCTTTTCTGCTAGAATTTCAAAGATATACTTGTATCCTGGATCAATTTTCGTTTTTCGGTTTTCCCTTGCGTCTCTAAATCTTGCCTAAAGAATGAAAGCAGGTATTAAAATCTTTTTGTAATTACGAAGAAAACAGAGCGGACGGACTGCGGTTCCCGCGCGGCACGTGGCAGGTGGCCGGGCCGCACACCTGTCTCTCTCTCAGCGTTTCCTGCAGGTTGGGGATACCACTCATGCTCCGGCGGAACTTGGACGGGCGCCGGGCAGACTGGGACAGCACGTCGGACAGCACCGACTGCACGGGCCGCGGCGCGATCCTCGGCCGGATTCTGGCCTGGGACGTCTCCTCATCTTCCTCCTCCGACGGAACGAGGGTGCGGTAATCAACCACCGAGGTCGAAAGAGCCGGGGTCACGCCTTCCGAGGGAGCCGCCTCTCCCGCGGGGGGCGGGGCCTCTCCCGCCGGAGGGGGCGGGGCCTCCTCGGCCTGAGGAGGCGGGGCCTCGTCTCCGGAAGGAGGTGGGGCGGAGCTTTCCGGGGGAGGCGGGGCTGCCTCCTCCGAAGAGCGAGGAGCCTCTTCTCCCTGGGGAGGGGGCCCGCCTTCTTCAGGTTCCATGTTGTGTGTGCTTTCCTCCTGCGAAGTATCTCGGACGTCAAAACCTAGAATTAGACAACCGTTTTCTTTAATGTTCTGCAATAAACTGAGTGCTAGGTGTTTTTATTCCTCCACTTAAAGCCACACAGGTAGCAAAATCATCCCTGTCTCCTTTACCTTACTATCAGAAGAAGCTAAATATGCAGAGCTAAAGGCATTTTTTTTTTTTTTTTTTGGCAATACAGGGGTTGAACTCAGGGACTTGGACTTACAAAGCAAGCACTCTACCACTTGAGCCACACCTCCAGTCCATCCTGCTCTGGATATTTTGGAGATAGGGTCTCAGGAACTATTTGCCTGGGCTGGCCTTGAACCTTGATCCTCCCGATCACAGCCTCCCAAGTAGCTAGGATTATAGGCGTGAGCCATCGACACTTTTGGCTTTGGGTTTATTTATTTATTTATTTATTTTTGATGGAGACAGCACACACAGGCCTACAGACATTTATTCCTGATTATGCTATGCCCTAGGAAACTGTTCCTCCATTCACATCCCATACTTGACATTGTAACTACAAGAAAGCACCTGTCCTCAGTATCTTCGGGCAGAAAAAAGTTAAAGAGTTATTGTGTTAGTAGACTGACTGGAGACCACTACCAAGACACTGATCATGCAAAAAGCCAAGCAAAGACCTTCATGGACCCAACATGTGCAGTATGTTGAGTAACTCTGATATAACACAGTTCTTCACTCAGACACCCAACTGTTATGTCAGCTCATCTACAGGAGCATAATCCAAAACCCAGAAAAGACTAAAATGTCCTCGTAGCAGCCAAAATGGATATCCCAAGTTAAAGCATGAAATTCATGCTGAAATGTGACTGTGTCTATCTATTGAAGCATTATGTCTAAGCTACTCAATCACAAAAGCTCCAATTATGAAAGGGTGTAACAATTATCATGAACACACAACCACGAAAAGTAGGGAATGCCTGCCAGTGGAGCAGGAGAAAGTGTCAGTTATAGACAAATCTCATTTTAGGGCGATAATGAGGCTTGCCTGGAAACAAGTTTCCAGGATATGGTTAAAATCTAGACCAGAATACTAGTAAATATTGAAGAACAGAAGAATAGATTCCCAAGCAGACAGGAAGACAGAGGAAGAGGATTTGTAGTGGAAGGCTGAGGAGGACAGCGGTGCAGATGAGGCCTCAGTAAGGTGAGGTTCTATGGCAGGATATCAGCAGACACAATGCAGAGACAATCTGTTACCTGTGCCCCACAACCACCCTCTCCACATTTCACAAGAACTCCTAAAACTGTTTCCTTTCATACCCTTAAGTAGCCTACTCAAAGTCAGAAATATCTCAGCAAATCTATCTTTTAGTTGCTACCTAACCAGTTTCCCTACCCATTCACCCACAAAATATGCAAACAAGAGTTGAGGATGTAGCTCAGTGGTAGAGCACTTGCCTAGCATGTGCAAGGCTCTGGGTCAGGCTTTGGCCAGGGGTGGTGGTACATGCCTGTAATCCCAGCACTCAACAGACTGAGGTGGAAGAATCACAAGTTCAAAACCAGCATGGGATACATAATAAGACCCTGTCTCAAAAATACAACAAAAAAATGCAAACAAGATTATTCTCAAACTGTCTGTAAGATTTTTTGTTTTAATTGTACGTCTCTTCCTTTTGTTTTATAAATCCTAGCTTTTCCTTTGGTTCTTGACTCCACTCTTATGTCTGTCTTCTCCACACGTTTCTGTGTCTGAGTTATTATTGGATGGACACAAGGACAAGCTACAACACCCAGGAGTTGTGTGGCCATTATATTATAAACACTTGAAGTCGGCCTGGAGGAGTTGGCTATACTATCTGTAACTCAGGAGCAAGTGTGATGATACTTCTTAGTGAAGTCATATCAATTGCCTGTCACTTTGCTCAAATGTATGCTTTTGAATCCTGCAAAATGATTCATTTGACTCAGTAAGACAATCTTTGTATCTTTTCTCAAAGGGTATTGGTAGGCATGGCTGTCCAGTTTCAGTAAACCAAAGCAAAATCTGATTTAATTTCAATAAGGCCGTCAAGGAAGGCAACAATTGAACTGTAATAAATCAGAGAAGCAGGGCACACTCGATCGTAATCCCAACTACTCAGGAGGCAGAGGCAGAAGAATTAGAGCTTCAAGCCCAGCCCAGGCAAAGTTAGCAAGACCCCGTCTCAAAAACAAAATACAAATAAAACGGCTGGGGCATAGCTCAAGCGATAGAGCAGTGGCTAACATGGTTTGGGTTCAATTCCCAGTATCACAAAAAGAAAAAAAAATTCCGGAAAGTACACAATAAATGTCAGTGAATTTTCCATCTCAAATAGCTACTATTTTTAAAGTGGAAGTAAGGATTAAGATTGCAGAGAATGCTATTATCCACTTCAATCCATTCCCTGGTGGTTCCATATAATTGCAATTGGTAGATACATAATTTCAACAGGGGGGTCAGAGAAGAGTTTTAGTTCTCATAAACCTCCCAATTTAATGATAAGGAAGATTCAGAGAAGTTACAGGTCTTTCCCAGCTACATACACAGATGGTATTGACCTTTCTAAACTTTGGATAGATCACATTGATTCCCTAGTTAAAATTCTCCTCTGGGTGCCAGCCACAAGTGCTTGTGTCCTTTAGGGCCTGTCTGACTTGGGCCTTGTGGGGAGCAGATTAAAGCCTATGAGAACTGCGCACAAGCAAGGCGAGATGCAGTTAACTGCTTTTACCTGTAGGCCGAGATAGGCCCGGCACCTGGCCACGAAAAAGGGAAAGGCAGTGTTCAAAGAAGCAGAAATGCAGGTTTCTCCTGTTATAATGTCACACCCCTCCCTGTGGCTCCACCCTGTTTGCTGCTATAAAAGACCCTTGAAGGAGGAAGAGGGGCTTTTGCTTTTTGGGGCTTTACTTTGGGCTTTTGCACTTTTTTGCTTGGCTTTTGACTTTTTGCCTTTGAATATTGGGAAGAAGCTTTTACTTTGGGCCTTTTGGTGTGGGAAGCTTTTGGAAGGGAAAAGAATTGATGAAGGGAAAATGCTAAAAGGGGTTGGTAGAAAGTCTGCACCAAGAACGTTTAACATAGGCCTTAGAAAGCTAAGCCAAAGAAAGAACTTTAACATAGGCTTTAAAGCTAAAGAAAAGCCAAAGAGAACATGGGACAGTGCACAGTGCAGGTCTAAGGACCCAGACTTTAAGAGTTATGCATGTGCAGGTTGTAGGCCCGGCTGTTTGCAAGTTTGAGCACTGAGGCTTTAAGAGAGCTAAAGAGAGATGGGACAGTGCAAGCCTGGGGGTAAAAGACTTTAAAAGTAATTAAGTTAAAGATAAGCTAAGAGCAAATGTGGGACAGTGGGATCCTAAGGAAAGAGGTTTTAAGCAAGGTTTTAAAGAACTACAAGGAGTAAGGCCTTAAAGAATCAAGATAGACATAAGAAGCAATGAGGGTTGTGTGTCTCCAGCCAAGCATACAACACACCTGACCCCAACTTTCTGTCTGTCTGTCTGTCTATCCTGTGTCTTTTCTAAAATCTCCAGTTGCCCCCAGTTAAGCCCAGTTAGGTCCAGTACTAACCAGGAACAAGAGAAAAAGTTCTCTCCAGCAAAGGAGGGAGCGCAAGAAACAGCGCCCCCTTCAGGGCCAAATCTTTCTTTCTGGTTTAGGTACTAGTCAGGAGGCCACTTAGGGAGACTCACTGGAAGCAGTCAAGTGTGCCCAAAATCTGTAGTATCAAAGAAGAAAGTGCAGGAAGGAAATTGCCAAGGAATAGTTGTCATTTAAGAGAAGTCTTGGAGCTCATGCCTTTAATCCTAGCTACCTAGGAGGCAAAGATCAGGAGGACCTCAGTTTGGGTCCAACCCCAGGCAAAAAGTTCATGTGACCTCATCTCAACCAACAGGTAGGCATGACAGTACACATCTGTCATCCCAGTGACAACAGCAAGCATAAAATCCAAGCTAGCTCAGGCATAAATAAGAGGCCCTATCTCAAATATAACCAATGCAAAAAGGGATAGTGGAGTAACTCAAACAGTAGAGCACCTGAGTTCAAACTCCAGTACCTCCAAAAGAGAGAGAAAAGTGTTGATAAGATAAATATTAGTTCCCTGGAGAAGACCAGGGAAGCAAATTTAATTGTCAACACTTAAATGCCAGAATCTGTGCTTGGTGAGATATATAACTAAGTTTGAAATAGAGATATATATATTCAGCATATATATTAAAGATATATGTGGATATTCTTTAAAGATAAGAACAATTAGGTGTATATATAACTTCTTTACAAATAAAAGCAATCATATAAACAGCAAGTAGAGAGCATGAGCAAAGAAATGGGGATTATTGTGCCATTTAGAAAAGACAAGAATTTGACTGCTTTTCCTTTTAAAGGGAAAAGAGGTATGACATTGACTAGTGTTGGGGAACAGAAAATCTTAGTTTGACCTTTATTTTGTAGCAATAGAGAATGCAGGGAAGGTTTTTGTACAAGGAGTGACAGGATTTGAACTCACATCTGGAAGGTAAATTTAGCAGATCAGAGAGGACACATGCTGAAGGCAAGGAACCTTTGATGAGACTATTGACAAAATCCAAGCTAAAAGGATCCAGGGTCATCCAGGGTAGTGACGGTGGGGATAGAGGTTGGGAGAGGGAAGAGAAGTACTGTAGAAACAAAATGGACAGAATCTGGTATAAGATTGGGTATTGGGTGAAGGGGAGGGTAAGGAAGATTGAAAATACAAACACTTAGGTTGTTTAAACCAGATAACTCTGAATGGTGCCACCAGTAACAGACTGAGAGCAGGTTTCAGAGGGAATATACAAATTCAGTTCTGATTGTAATGACCTTGAGATGTTGACTAGGCATGAAGGTGATATCCAGCCAGCCAGAAGTTAGCAGGTGGGGGTGGAGGCATGGCTTGAGCAGTAGAGGACCTGCCTCACAGTGTGTAAGCCCTGAGTTCTAACTCCAGAACCACCA